ACCCAGCTTGCAATCAGAGCACTGTGAAGCCAGTGAGCTAATGCTGACCTGCAGCACTTCACCTCCTGACTTCCCAGTGTGCCATTAGCCATAACCTGGCTTCTCACTAGGGCTCGTTGTTGTGTAGTCATCAAGAACAGGGGATGTGCTCAGCCCCACTCGGGTTATTCACTGGAAGGTGTGAAGAAGGAGCTGGGGTCACTCTGCTTTGTGGCATTCCCATTCCTGCGTCTTTCCGTGTGCCTTGTACAGCCCCATTCCCCTTTGATTTTGGAAGCTGTTGCATTGTTAAATGAACACCCGCCAGTTCCCTTTGTGCAGAATGGGGAAAGCAGGTATTCTCTCCTTTGCTTTAGGTGAAGGTGGTTTTGTTTGATGTATGTATGTATATAGTGTATATGTGCACTATCATACACTGGTATATTGCAGCATAAGAAGGACAAGAAGGAAGGGCACAAGAGGGGCATGGAGCTGTTGGAGCGAGGCCAGAGGAGGCCATGGAGATGCTGCGAGGGCTGGAGCAGCTCTGCTCTGGAGCCAGGCTGAGAGAGCTGGGCTGGGGCAGCCTGGAGAAGAGAAGGCTCCTGAAGGGGAGACCTGAGAGCAGCTCCAGTGCCTAAAGGGGCTGCAGGAAACCTGGAGAGGGGCTTGGGACAAGGGCCTGTAGGGACAGGCCAAGGGGAATGGCTTGAACCTGCCCAAGGGGAGACTGAGCTGAGCTCTTAGGCAGAAGCTCTTCCCTGTGAGGGTGCTGAGGCGCTGGCACAGGGTGCCCAGAGAAGCTGTGGCTGCCCCATCCCTGGCAGTGTTCAAGGCCAGGTTGGACACAGGCCTTGGAGCAAGCTGGAACTGGAGGAGCTTTCAGGTCCCTTCCACCACGAACCAGGCTGGGGTTCTATGAATATACATACTGTAAAGAAATGCATGTATGTAGATGTATGTGCTTTATCTGCACCAAAGCAGCTTTTCTCCATCCGCCCTTGAGACTCTCCCAGCACTTCCCTGCTTCAGGGCTGTTTTCTCCCCCCTCTTTCTCCAGTTTTACCTTCCTTCAGCAAACTCATTCCTGCCCCGGGTGCTGCTGGTGGCTGGAGCAGTGGTGCTGCCTTCCCAGCCCTCTCCCCTTGATTTCCTGCTCTGTGAGGACACACAGACCTGATGGACCCGTCTGCAGGCAGAGACGTGGGCAGAAACAGGGCACGATGCAGGCACCTGCCCACGGTCCTCACTGCTTCCTTTGTGCCGTTGTAGCCGGTTCCTTTTATAGACAGGGAACAAGTCAGCATCTTCCTGGACCGTGAGGCAAGGCTGAGGGAGCTGGGACTGTTCAGCCTGGAGAGGAGAAGGCTCAGGGGACCTTGTCACCGTGTTCCAGTAGTTAAAGGGTGGCTACAAAGAAGACAGAGAGTCCCTTTGGACAAGGAGTCCATGGAAAGGATAAAGGGTGATGGGCACAAGTTACTGTTGGACACAAGGGGGGAAACGTTTCACCATGAGAGCAACCATTGGAGTCATCTCCCCAGGGAAGTGGTGACTCCCCAGTGTTGGACACTGTTAAGACTGGGCTGCACAGGGTGCTGGGACACCCAGTGTAGGTGATGCTTTGCCTGGGAAGGTTGGACCAGCTGGTCCTTGGGGTCTCTTCCAACCTGGGATTCATGGATTCCCCCCTCGCACTGCAGAGAGGGTCCCATCCACTGGGGAATCCTTCCTTGGGTGAGGTTTCTGTGGTACCAACCCCCTTTCCTCCAGGCAGCTCATCCCAGTCTCCATCCCGGGGCTGTGGTGGGTGCCCCAGGAGGACCATCTCTGCCTGCTCTGCAATGCCGTGGCCATGCAGAGAGCAACAGGGAGGCTTTTGTTCTGCACCAGGAACTTTTCATCCTTCTTTATGGCTCCTTTTTTATTTCTCTTGGCCGTGCTCTCACGAATCTGAAGCAGATTAAAACACAGATCCTCCTCCTCCCCCTGCTCCAGAAAGGCCAAAGAAAGCCCAACCCCAATGCTTGGCTGCTTCAGCTCATCCCATTTCACTGAAGTCTCTTCAAGTTAACAGTTGCCTGCATCCTGGGCAGCACAACCGCAGCTTTTCCCCTTGCACATCCCCGGGGTTTGCCATAACCTTCCTCAGCAGCATGAGGAAGGGAGGACGTGGAGCAGGGTAGCTCTGATGTGGGGCACATGGGGCTCAGATGAATCTGGTGTGGGACTCACTGGACTGGCACCGTGGGGGACCAAAGGGGGCAGAGCCCTGCGGTATGGCTGGCAGGTAGGGATGCATGGATGCTTTTGGGGTGTCCTTTGGGGGCAGAATATTAGGTACCATTGGGAGAAGAAAGGAGGATGGGGTGTGTGGGATGGAGCTTTGTTTCTCGGGATCAGTTGTTTGGTAGGGGTGGGATGGTTTGTAGCTGTGGTCATGGGGACTGATAGAAGAGCTGCATGGATCAGCTGGGCATGACCGTAAGGAGGTTCTCTTGGCTTGATGAGATGCTAAAGGCAGCCTGGATCTTCCCTATCCATCGTCTGCTTTTGTGCCTGGTCTTCTGTGGTATCTCCTGGTGCAAGAGCTGGATTGAACCCCCTGCCTTTGGTAGGAAGAGCATCTCCGGTTACAGGAGTTAGAATGGAAAGGAAGTCAACAGTCCAGTGCTGGTTGGTTGTGCTGCCTCTTCTCCAAGAATGGTTTCTCCTTCCTTGCACCTGAAGCTGTCCCAGATGGAGCACGTGTGACCTTCTCTTGGAGTGGTTGAGGAGCTGGAGCCACCCAAACCTTGGCCAACACCAGTGACCATCAGCCCCAGTGTGGGCAGGGACAGGCAGAGCCTCATCCTCCAGCCAAAACATCCTCGCTGGATGAGTGTGACAGAGGGGAGAGCCCCTGAACCGTGTCAAATCCCTTTGACCCAGCAGGGGCTGGAAACCGAACCCAAGCCTATGAGCTGTGCATTAACCCTGCCAAGAGCTGGGAACAAAGGTTTCGGGGCTGGTTTGGGCTTTTCCTCCTTGATTTGCAAAGCAAACCAGGCTGGGCTGAGCAGAGCAAGCATTGGTGGAGGAGTGAGAGCTGCAGGGTGGTTGCTGGGCTATAAAACCCCATCCTACCAGCGCTGGCAGGGGGCTGCGCCGCGTCTCCGAGCTCCCGTAGCGTATCCACGTTGAGCCGGGAGGCTCGGAACGTGCGTGTTGGTCTCGGGAGGCTTTAATCAAATCCAGGCTTTCCCAGGAATCGCCTCCGAACTCGCAGCGAGCCGAGGAAGCCGAAAGCAGCCGGAGCGGGGAGGCTCTGGGCTGGGAATTCCGGGCTGGAATGGGGGAGATGCTGCCTTTGGCGAGGGGCGCGAGGAGGGGGCGGGCAAGGGGCTGAAAGGTGAGTGTGGATGGGAGCGGTGCAGAGGTGATGGGAGGGGAGAGGAAGGACCAGGAGGTTCAGCAGAAACAGGGTCTGAAGGGGGAAAGGAGATGCAGGAGCGAGGAGGCTGCTTGGAGCACTGGGGTGCTTGGAGGATGCTTTGGGGTTTGGTGTTGCTCCCTGGTATGGTTTGGGTTTAGAATCATCATGGAATGGGTTGGAAGGGACCGTAAAGCTCATCCAGTTCCATGAGGGACCCCTTCCACTGGAGCAGCTTGCTCCAAGCCCCTGTGTCCTTGAACACTGCCAGGGATGGGGCAGCCACAGCTTCTCTGGGCACCCTGTGCCAGCGCCTCAGCACCTTCATGGTAAAGAGTGAAGCGGTGAGGAGCCATCTCCTCACCCCGTGTGCAAGTGGGAGAGGTGCAATTACTGCTCCCTGGAAAACTCCCTGCTCCAGGGGAGGGTTCTGTTATCCCTCAGTAATTGTATTTGGGAAACAGGGCTCAGGCTTCAGGTACTTTCCCTGCTGGTTGGGGAACTTCGGTGCGTGCCACGTCCAGCCCCCTGCTGTGGGCAGGAAGGAGAACACAGCCATAGCTCTTGAACTGCCTTTTCCAAGCTGGGGGGGAACTCTCTGCCTGGCCAGGGATGGTTGTGATCATTCAAGGGTGGCTGCTTCAAAGAACGATGTCAGAAGGAAGGAGTAATGAAGGGAAAGGGTAAAGATGTGCTTGGCTTTGGGTGGTAACGTGGTGAGACCAAGACACCAGGTTGGCTTCTGCCTTACCCTGAAGAACACTCTGTGAGGGTGATGGTAACGTATTCCTGTCCTGTGCAATGAATCCTAAAAGCCATGCAGGAGAGGATCCATTGCAACCCTTATTCCAGGCAGCTGCTCCCAGTGTAGTTGTGGGAGGTTTTGGTGCAAGATGCGAACAGCTCAAATCATTGCATCCCCTTTGGGGGTTTGCTGGGGGGAAGCAGCTTTGGGGTTGGGCTGAGGAATAGAGCTGGAACCTGCAAAAAATTCCCTGGAAAAACCCAAACCAAGTCTCTTTTATGGCTCCTGTAATGTCTTGGCAGCGCTGCGGCGGGGATGGGAATGTTGTTGGTGTCTCTGTGTGGAGCGTGTTGAACCCGCGCCGGTTCGTGTCCGTGCTCCGTGGTTTTGGAGGGGGGATTTCTATGGGAGGAGGAATCGGTTTGGAAAGCACAGGAGGGGAAGGGAGGGAAAACCTGCTTTGAAACGAGGTTTTCTGGCTGCTTCCAGTGTTTCAGGCTAAGTAATGAGGGGCTTGGGGGACACCGGCTGCAGCTGGATGCAAATCCCCACGTCCGTCTGTTGTGGTGTTTAACTTGAAGGATGATGTGTGTAGGGACGAGGGGAAAATAGCTGGAGGAGAAACTCCCAGCGGGAGGAGAAGAGTCCCAGCCCTGGCTGGTGCAGCCCTGCTTTGTTTTCAGTGGTATGAGCCCGGAGCTCAGTTCTGGGCAAGGATGCCTTCACCCCAGGGGGGACGAGCAAGGAGGGAGCGCTGCTCAATGCCTTCTCCTTCCCCATCCTCCCTTTAGAGGGACCATTGGTGTCCAAAGGGCACCCCCATGCTGCTAAAGGAGCCTCCTGTCCATGTGTTTTCTCCCACAGCCTACCCATGAGCTCGGACTTCCAGCATTACAGTTTCAGGATGCCGAACATCGGGTTCCAGAACCTGCCTCTCAACATATACATCGTGGTCTTCGGCACGGCCATCTTCGTCTTCATCCTCAGTTTGCTCTTCTGTTGCTACTTGATCAGGTAAGGGAATGATCCCCAGCTGCATTCAAGAGCTGCCCTGGTTCAGAATGAGCCTGTTGCTCGTCCCTCCATGCCTCAAAGAGGATGGCATCGCCTTGCCTTTCCATAACGTGCCTTGTGCCAAGCCGATGCGATCCCTGGTGTGGTTTAACTTGCCCTCATCACCAATGGATTTGCTCAGCGGTGCAGTGGGAGAGCAAATGTTCATCCCTAACAGAGCCAATGTACACAGTGTGTACACAGTGAGTACTGAAACCCATCAGCATCTCAGAGCTCCCAATCACACAGGCAGTTACCTTCTCCACTTTAAAACCAGGATGTGTTTGTCTGTAGGGTCCTAAAGGCATGAATATTGAGGGGCTGGAGCAGGGCCAGAGAAGGGAGCGGAGCTGGTGCAGGGCCTGGAGCCCAAGTGTGATGGGGAAGGGCTGAGGGACCTGGGGGGTTCAGTCTGGAGAAGAGAAGGCTCGGGGGGACCTGATGGCTGCCTCCAACTGCCTGACAGGAGGATGGAGCCAGGAGGGGCTGGGCTCTGCTCCCAAGGAACAAGGGATGGGACAAGAGGAACCGGCCTCAAGCTGCACCAGGGCAGGTTTAGATGGAGCTGAGGAACAATTCCTGCCCCAGAGGGTGCTCAGGCATTGGAACAGGCTGCCCAGGGCAGGGCTGCAGGCACCGGCCCTGCAAGTGTTCACACAGAGTGGAGATGAGGCCTCAGTGCCATGGGTCAGTGGTGGCCTTGGCAGAGCTGGGAATGATTGGACTGGATGAGTTTAAAGGTCTGTTCCAACCCGGTTGATTCCATGGCTCTCTGCAAACACAGTCGGCTGCTCAAAAAGGCTGGAAAAGGGTGTTTTGTGGTTCCATTTCTGCTTAACGTTTCAACACGTTTTCCTCTTTAATGAGTAACTTGTGTCCTGTGTGCGTAAGGAATGTTTAATGCCTGTCAGGTTGGTTATGGGGCACAAATTGCTCATTCAACAGCACAGTTTAGAGATTAATGATGCAGGGGTGAGGCGTTAATCGGCACGATGGGGAGCAGGAGTCGGGGGGTAAAGGTTGATCCCGTTTGGGGCTTGTGTTAATTGGTTTATGGGCCACTGGGGAGGGAATTGGGCCGCTCATTGAGAAGGGGAAAGTCTTCCTGGTGCAGGGAAGTGGGGAAAAGCACAGTGCCTGGGAATTGTGGCAGCAATGGGGGCAAGCTGTGCTGATAGCCCTCTTGTAGAAGAGCCTTTCCATCCCCTCTGCATTTCCAATGGCCTCAGCTCCCTGCTAGCCATGCATCCATCCCATCCCCTCCCTCTGTCCCCATAACACAGGTGCCTGCTCCCTTCTTCCATCACAGAGGAAGGCTTTCACTGAGGTTTTCATCCAGAAGCTTTTGTCCCGCATTTGTAGAGCAGGGAGGCAGGATTTCAGTGCCTCCCTCTCAATATTTGATCGTTTCCATCTATTTTCAGCTCTTGATGAAGCAAAACCTCATAAAACCTGCAGGTGAGCCCAAAGCCAGGGTTACCCAGCAGTCATTTGTGCTGCCTGGGCATCACTCCTCCCTTTTGCCTGCAGTTATGGATAAGAGAATGGTGTTTGAAGGTGGACACATCTGTCCACCCCAGCGGATAAGGCAGAACCAGATCAAGGGGTCACCCCAACCAGCTTGGTATCTCAGCGCTCAATGTTACCACAATCTGTGCTGGGATATTGCATCCACATCCAGTGTTCCCCTTTTAACAGGGACACCAATGGGAGGGGATGCATAAGGAGTAGACAAACGGTGCTCAGAAGGTTCAGGGGTGTGTTTTGCCCAGATGAAGCTTCAATCCTCACAGCTCACTTGGCAAATGGAGAGGTGGTTTGGGCTTTGAGAGCGTTCTCCTGGGCACCAGGCCTGGCTGGCTGTGTTCTGCCCCTAAGGAGAAGCAACAAGTGGTCATGTCTGTGGGATCAAGCCAGAAAACCTCACCTGAGAGTACTGTGACCTCAGTATTGAGACCTCACTTGGAGCATTGTGTGCAGTTCTGGTGTCCTCAACATCAAAAGGACACGGATCTGTTGGAACAAATCCAGAGGAGGCCACGAGGATGATCAGGGTCTGGAGCAGCTCCTGTATGAAGATCGGCTGAGAACACTGGGGCTGTTCAGCCTGGAGAAGAGAAGGCTGCGTGGAGACCTCATAGCAGCCTTCCAGTATGTGAAGGGGGCCTATAGGGATGCTGGGGAGGGACTCTTCATTAGGGACTGTAGTGACGGGACAAGGGGTAATGGGTTAAAACTGAAACAGGGGAAGTTCAGGTTGGATATAAGGAAGAAGTTCTTTACTGCAAGGCTGGTTAGGCACTGGAATGGGTTGCCCAGGGAGGTTGTGAATGCTCCAGCCCTGGTGGTGGCCAAAGCCAGGTTGGATGAGGCCTTGGGTGCCATGGTTTAGTGTGAGGTGACCCTGCCCATGGCAGGGGGTTGGAACTGGATGATGTTAAGGTCCTTTCCAACCCGAACTATTCTGTGTTTCTGTGATTCTATGAACCTTTACATTTAGCAGTGGGAGGCATGTTGTAAGAGAGAGGGTGAGTGACCGGTGGAGCAAGCCAGCAAGGGAAGTGGCAAGTGCTCTGTCTCCTCATGTCTTTAAATGAAGACAGAGGGGCCTTGCTGGATGAGACACTTTGGCTCCTGTTACTGAGGAGCTATTTAACGCACTGTGATAGATGGGAGGTTGGATTAGATCATCTCACGATCCCTTTATAGCACTGAACTCGAGAGGGACTTCATGAATTGCCCTGCAAATCGCTGCCCCCTGCTCTGTTATTGACAAAACAGAGCCAAAGCAGCAGCCTCCAGCCCTTGGTTGGAAGGGTTCTGCAGTGCCATGGGATTACCTGTGCTGGTGTCTCCACCCTGGCAGTGCTCAAGGCCAGGTTGGATGGGTCTTGGTCCCATTGGAGCAACCTGCTCCAGTGGAAGGTGGCCCTGCCCATTGCAAGGGGTTGGAACTGGAGGAGGTTGAAGGTCTCTTCCATCCCAAACCATTCCATGATTCTATGGTATGTTTGGCAAACAACAAGTGGAGCTCATGGCACCATCCTCTGGGCCCTGGTTCTCATCGCCTGCATGGGATCAGAGCATCCCATGGACCCTCCTTGAATCCCCAGCTGGAGTGTGCAAGAACCAATATCTGCTGTATTTACCTCTTTATCACAGAGCTGATGGCATTAAATAAAGGATGCATCAGGGGAGGAGAGCACTTTGCTTCGCAGCCGCGTCCATACAGAGTGCACTGCCCACTTGATGGGAGGAAAGGGGATGGTTTTAATCAGGTTGGATCAAAATGCAATCCAGTAGGAACTGCAGCCAAAAGCAAAGCAAAGATCACCGCTGTCTGTGCAGTGCGGGTGGATCTTGAGCTCTTCTGCTGCTGGAAACCACTCTGGTGCAAAGCACAGGTCCCGTCCTCGCGGTCCCATCTCTGCTTGGAGAAGTTAATGGGAAAAAGGGGAAGGAAGAAGCGAGGAAGTGCTGCAGGGGGCTCTTTGTGTCTGATCCCTGCTGGGGACACTGGGGCTGTCCAGCCTGGAGGAGAGAGGCTGCGTGGAGACCTCAGAGCAGCTTCCAGTATCTGAAGGGGGCTACAAGGATGCTGGGGAGGGACTCTTCATCAGGGACTGGAGTGACAGGACAAGGGGTGATGGGTTCAAACTGAAACAGGGGAAGTTCAGGTTGGAGATGAGGCAGAAGCTCTTCCCTGTGAGGGTGCTGAGGCGCTGGCACAGGGTGCCCAGAGAAGCTGTGGCTGCCCCATCCCTGGCAGTGTTCAAGGCCAGGTTGGACACAGGGGCTTGGAGCAAGCTGCTCCAGTGGAAGGGGTCCCTGCCCGTGGCAGGGGTTGGAGCTGGATGGGCTTTAAGCTCCCTTCCAACTCAAACCAGGCTGGGATTCAATGAAACAAGCAGATCCTGGAGGTAACCTGCCCCAGGGTTTCCTCCAGTTTATTCCTGTAGTTGTTCGCTTGATTTGGAGTCACTCAGGTAAGTGAGGAGCTCCCGTTCCTGTGGGAAGCAGGGGAAGCTTGGGAAGGGAGCACAGGAAGGCCGTTCCTGCATTCATGGATGGTGATGGTGCTCGCACACACGCAGTCTGCAGCCCTGCGCTGGTTTCGGAGCCGCTGTGTGGTCCCTTATCTAGACCCGCATCTGCCAGACATTCCTGTGGAGTCAGAGCTCCTGACAGGAGATGGATGGAGCCCGTGTCCAGCAGGGAATAACGCCTGCCAGGATCCGGGGTCTCATTACAGCAGCTGTGTAAGGTCCGGCCGGGATCCATCTGGCCCCGCATCCTGGCTTGGGAAGGGGAGCATGGGGGAGCAGACGGAGCTCACACACTTCAGGACTGGATGTGCTGGTGCCCTTCCCCATAACCTTCATGGAGGGGGTGATTTTGGCACATTGTCCCTGTGTACCTTGATCCCGTGGCATTGTGGCACCCAAGCTGCAGGGATCCGGGTCCAGATGCTTGCTTCTCCCCATCGCTGGTCCAGATGCCACCACCACGTCTTGGCCTGGTTCTACACACCACATTCCCTCTGGTGGCTTTGGCTGTGATGCTCAATGCTCCATAGGACAGATTCCTGTTCCCATGCCGGCAGTTTTCCCCCTCCTGTGCAGCCTCCAGCCTGCTTTGCCCCATCTGTCTTTCATAACCAGTTTCCCAGCCGCCGGCATCCCTGCGGATCGGGCTGGTTTCAGCCTGTTTGCTCCATTGTTCCTGCATCTTCTGCTCCTGTTGCTGCTCGGGGGCACTGGTGGAGGGATCCTGACCCCACTTTCATCCGCGGCTCTGCAGGCAGGTTCCCTGCCAGGCAGCAGCACTGGAGGAGCAGGGATGGCTCCCATTGAATGTGGGGCTCAGGAGCTGATTTATTGCATCTCTGTCTCGGACATTGCTCAACTTTGAAGGTCCAGGACCTTTTTTGGGGGTGTTTTAGAGCAGAAAAAGGGATGTATTTTACATCCTATTTTGTATGTATCACCCACTGCAGCCTTGTGGGATCAGAAGCCTCTGAGAGCCCTGGGTGAGACAAGCAAGGGTTGAACCAACCCGGAATAGCTGTTTGGGAAGTGAAACTACAGGCAAGGGAGTTTCCCAGCTGAAATCCCACTGGAGATGGGGAACATCTGATTGAAAGCCCTTTGTGAGTCTGCAGAGCACTTCACTAAAGGGCACGTCTTGTAATGAGGAGCAATGTTAGGGGGGGGTTTAAAGGCATTGATTTGAGGAGGATCAGCTTCTCCAGCCAGAGCGACCCACCGGGATGTGGGAGCTGGGCTGCTGTTGGGAAGGATGTTTTATAGATCATAGAATGGCATGGGTTGGGTTGGAAGGGAGCTTAAGGCTTAAATCCAGCTCCAACCCCTGCCACAGGCAGGGACCCCTTCCACTGGAGCAGCTTGCTCCAAGCCCCTGTGTCCAACCTGGCCTTGAGCACTGCCAGGGATGGGGCAGCCACAGCTTCTCTGGGCACCCTGTGCCAGCGCCTCAGCACCCTCACAGGGAAGAGCTTCTGCCTAAGAGCTCAGCTCAGTCTCCCCTCGGGCAGGTTCAAGCCATTCCCCTTGGCCTGTCCCTACAGGCCCTTGTCCCAAGCCCCTCTCCAGCTTTCCTGCAGCCCCTTTAGGCACTGGAGCTGCTCTAAGGTCTCCCCTTCAGGAGCCTTCTCTTCTCCAGGCTGCCCCAGCCCAGCTCTCTCAGCCTGGCTCCAGAGCAGAGCTGCTCCAGCCCTCGCAGCATCTCCATGGCCTCCTCTGGCCTCGCTCCAACAGCTCCACGTCCCTCTTGTGCTGCTGCCCCAGAGCTGGATCAGGGCTGCAGGGGGGGTCTCCCCAGAGCACAGCAGAGGGGCAGGATCCCCTCCCTGAGCTGCTGCTCACACTCTAGGGGTGCACCCAGCACACGGGGGGGTTCTGGGCTCAAGCGCTCACTGAAGCTGGGTCATGGGGAGCTTCTCCTCACCCAGCACCCCCAAGTGCTGCCCCTCAGGGCTGCTCCATCCTTTCTCCATTCAGGCTGTGTCCGTGCTGGGATTGAGCTGAAAGCTGTGCAGTGATTCAATGTGTTCCTGCTGTTTGGCTCGGTCTCCCCATCCTTTAACACCGCACCCCCCTCCTGCTGTCCTGGTTAGGAAACAGAACACAAAAAGCCCCCAGATTCCCAAGGGGAAGGTTTGTTCCCTTGTGGGCTTTGGCATCTCCTTATCTCTGGCTACTGAATGACCCCTGCCTGGGATAGGAAGTGAGAGATGGAAGATGCCCCGGTGCTTCCCTTCCAAAGTTTTCTGTGCCGGTGTTGGGTGAACACCATCCTTTGCTTGCTCAGCCACACAGACGGCTCCTGTTGAATGCTGCTTCCTCGGTCTGGGGGGGCAGAAGCAGCTCAATGGATCTTATAATGGAAGATAAAGGTGGGTTTGAGGAGCCCAGCGCTGCCCAAGCGTTGTGATGGGGGCTTCAGTGGGAAACCTCTGTGCAGGGAGGCCTCCTTCCCCCTTGGGTCTGAGGAAGAAGGTTCCACATCCAGTGTAGGAACTGCTGGCAGCAGCGGTGGTTCAGGAGCAGGGATCTGTAATAGGGATTTATGGCAGCTCCAGCTCTTGCTGGTCTTACTGGTGGGAACTTGATGGTGCCTGCGTGGAAGATGAGGGAGGTCAAAGAGGAGCAGAGGAGGAGGCTGTGTGCTTATGGATGGAGGCACTGATCTCCCAGCTGCAGGGAGAGGGGCCTGCTGCCTGGATGCATCACTTCCCGTGGCCATTGTCAGCTCTGAAATGAAGAAAGAAGGGCATTAAATCAGGGAAGGAGGGAAATGAAACACTGGAGGGGGTGCAGAAACCCTGTTTCCGTGCCCATCTTCATCCTTCTCCTTGTTCTGATTGCAGGCTCAGGCATCAAGCACACAAAGAGCTCTACGCCTACAAACAGGTGAGGTGATGCACAGTAAGTTCTCCTCTCCTCTGCTTAGTGCCAGATCCATGCTGAAGCAGTCACTCCATCAGCTTTCCTTCTGCTGTTCTCCTTGGGAGGCCGTTGGCCATCAAAGGGAAGTCTCAATGTCCACACAAACCTCTGTCTCCACTGATTCAGTGGGGGCATCTCCCATTGTAACACCACTGCTTCCTCATGGTCAAACCATGTTAGATCCAGGTCTGCTGCTGGGGTTGGACCCAGCTGCTCTGATCCAGCCACGGGGCTCTCATAGGGATGTCTCAATGGGAGCATCACCTGGGTTTCCACACACACTGGTGCTAAAGGAACACGACCAAGAGGCTGATGTCAGGATCCTCCTTCCATGTCCCATCATCTCCAGGGCTTGTGGAATCTTTCTGCCTCCAATCTGTTCAAGCAGGAAACGGGATGGAGTTGGGCTGATTATGATATAGGATATGATATGATGAGATAGGATAGGTTAGGATACAATAGGATAGGATAACACATGATTATCCTGGATGTATAGCCCTCCCCAGGCATTTAGCCTGGATGGAGTGAAGCTGCAGCAGCCCATGTCCATGCAGGAGCTCATGGCAAGAGTGAGGAAGCCCAAGAGGTTTAAATATGGGGGGGTTTGGTCCTTGGGGTGATGGTTACAGCTCTGCCTTCCTCCTCGTCCTGCCCATGGGAGAAGGCCCCCAGTGCTCCATGGCTGTGCTGAGTGTACTGGGGGGGTTCCAGTTAAACTGGGACAATCACCAGGGATCCCTATGGAGGGTTTTCCTATGCATCCTCCTGGCAGAAGCTGTGTGCTGATGGAGTGCTCTGTGTTGCAGGTCATACTCAAGGAGAAGGTGAAGGAGCTGAACCTACACGAGGTGAGTAGTGGCAAAGAGGCCTTCACCCTCCTCTTGCTCACACTGGGGATGGAGGACAGGCGCAGGTAGGATGCAGCCGGTACCCAGCACCCTCCTCCTCCTGGGTCCTTTCAGCTTTCACTGCATCCTTGGGGCTTTAACCTGGCAGAGGGGAGATTGGGATGGGAGCAAGAGCCTGTCCCGTGATTCCTCCCCACAGCCGAGGAGCTGATTCCCAAGGGCAGGAGTTGCAGACAGGGACAGAACGGTCCTGGCTTGAGGCTCCTGTTTCTGATCCACTCCCATTAACGTGACTTGCAGTGGGGTTTTTGCCAGCACTGGGGCTTAAAAGCACTTCCTGGGGCGAGGAGCTCATTGCAGGAGGGATTTGGGAATGTGCCCGGGAATGGCTGGGATAAGCCTCCATCCTCCTCCATCCCCTCCATCCGCAGCGCAGATGCTTTCAGAGCGGGTGATGGGTCCATGGGGCAGGGGGTAGAGCAGCTCGAGCTCTTCCCTGGCATTTGGGAAAGGCTGGAAGAAGCGGTTTAGCTCCAGCTCCATGGAAAATATCCCTTTTTGGGCATTGGGATTTGGGATGTGCAGTGCTGGGAAGCAGAACAGGGGGGATTGAGCAACACCAGGGGCTGCTGCCAGCGCTCACAAGGAGCTGTGCGGAGGGGAAAGTGCCGCTGAGCTCCTCATCCCTGTGGATCTGGCTTTGGTTTTCCCCCTTTTCCCATCATCCGCCTCTCCCAGGGCTTCCCGGAGCTCCAGATGTGTGTGTTCCCTAGGGATTATCCCAGCCAATGGTGCTCTGGTGGCTGGAACATATGGACAGGCGCCATGGCTCCCGTGGTGTCGGTGCCCGCCTGCTTCATCCCGAGGGATTCTGGCCATTGTTTGGGGATGATGGAGACTCCCAAGCCAGGGGGCTGGGACAGACAGCTGGGAATATCCCAAATCCCCAGGAAGAGCCAAAATACATCAGGAAAATACAGTGGAGGGGAATGTTTCAGCTGGGATAACAGCCACTGACTTCACCAGCACTGGGATAGAGATGCACCCTTTGCCTTCTCATCCCTGTTATCCCTATGGATGCAGCTCCATCCCAGGCACCAAGCAGCAGTGTGGCTTGTGTCCTCGTGCACCCTAAAGCCTCCTGCACATCCCACCCAGCCATGTGCCTGTTGCTCCAGGGAGGCTCCAGAGTCCTTTCCATTGGGAAAGGGAGAGCCAAGCCTCAGCCTGGGATCCCAGAGGTTGTGCACTGAAGCCTGGGAAGGCTTTAGGGGGGTTTGCTCAGGCTGGAGGGTTCGGAGCTCCAGAGGAGTGGGAATTCCCTAGGGCAAAGGGAGGATTTCCCCTCCCCACCCCCAGCACTGGCGTCAGAACCCGAATTCCCCCTTTTTCCCCCAGCAAAGGCAGGGATGAGGTGAACACAGGGGGAGGGAGGGGGGAAGTGGCCACAAGGGGGAACTTCCAGTGCCTAAAGGGGCTGCAGGAAAGCTGGAGAGGGGCTTGGGACAAGGGCCTGTAGGGACAGGCCAAGGGGAATGGCTTGAACCTGCCCGAGGGGAGACTGAGCTGAGCTCTTAGGCAGAAGCTCTTCCCTGTGAGGGTGCTGAGGCGCTGGCACAGGGTGCCCAGAGAAGCTGTGGCTGCCCCATCCCTGGCAGTGCTCAAGGCCAGGTTGGACACAGGGGCTTGGAGCAAGGTGCTCCAGTGGAAGGGGTCCCTGCCTGTGGCAGGGGTTGGAGCTGGAGGAGCTTTAAGGTCCCTTCCATCCCAAAGCAGGCTGGGTTTAGGTCAGTTTGGGGGGGTCTCTGTGGTTTCCATGTGCACAAAACCATCCCATCCCCTGACTGCTCCTCTCTGCTTCCCCCTCTCAGATCTGTGCCGTGTGCCTGGAGGAGTTCAAGCCCAAGGACGAGCTGGGGATCTGTCCCTGCAAACATGCCTTCCATAGGAAGTGAGTGTGGGCAGTGGGGCTGCCCTGCATCCTGCCCCGCAGCACTGGGAAGGCCCTTGGGTCAGGGCTCCTGGTGCTGCTGCTCCTCAGTCCAGGTTCAGCCCAGCCTAATCCCAATCCCAGGGGGAATGAATTGGGATTGGAATGAAGTTGAGCATTTGAATGTGAGCATTTGGAGCAGCGATGGTCAAGTTGTGAGCTGGCAAAACCACTTATGTATAGATATATACATGTATCTATATATACACACACATTTATATTATATTAATTTATATATATTTATATTATATATATTTATATTATATTCCTGATATATTTCTATCATATTATATTCCAAAAGCAGAACTAGATGATCTGAAGGTCCTTTTGAACCCAAACCATTCTAAGATTCTAGGTATGTCCATCCTTACGTGTGTATATTCCTATTTACCTGTATCATTCAATACCCATGGATAAAATGGCTATTTAGAGGCATTGCAGCTCGCTGGGAAACAGCCAGGGCCCCAAAGCTGCTTGTGTCTGAGAGTGTTTGGGCATCCCCCTCGGATGAGGGCTTGGACTTGTGCTGAGCTGGGAGTTGGTCTTGGTGGTCCTCATGAGGCTTTGATTCTATGAAATATATATGTATGTATACATATGTAAATAGATGTCTATATACATATAGATCTATATACACTTTATATATACATATATTTATATATACATATATAAATACATGTATATGTATATATAAATACAGAACTTTTGTATGTATATGAAATTCATGTACATTTGTTCAGCCTGGAGAAGAGAAGGCTCCTGAAGGGGAGACCTTAGAGCAGCTCCAGTGCCTAAAGGGGCTGCAGGAAAGCTGGAGAGGGGCTTGGGACAAGGGCCTGTAGGGACAGGCCAAGGGGAATGGCTTGAACCTGCCCGAGGGGAGACTGAGCTGAGCTCTTAGGCAGAAATGGGGCTGGAAGGAAATGAGCTTTAAGCTCCCTTCCAACCCACACCACGCTGAGTCTGTGACTACTCCTTGTATCTACACACACAAAGGCCTGATAAAGGCACTAAAAGGGGGTGTCAGGACCCAGCACCGCTGTTGGGGTCCCAGTTGTGGGTTTCCCATCTCTAGCACCCCATAAACCCCTTTCCCCTGTGTGTGTGTCCCCCCTGCAGGTGCCTCATCAAGTGGCTGGAGGTGCGCAAGGTCTGCCCGCTCTGCAACATGCCAGTGCTGCAGCTGGCGCAGCTGCACAAGCAGCAGGACCCCGGCCCCCCCCAGGGCCCCCTGCCCGGGGCAGAGAACATCGTATAGCTGCAGCATCCCATGGACCGCCCCCCGGGAACACCGGGACAGCACCGAGGGACACGAGGGGACACGGGGGGCCCGGAGCGCTTCAGTGCGGGGCAGGTACCTGCTGGGTGATGCCTCATTGTTGCATCCATGGAGCTGTGCCGGGATGGAGCCTCTCGAGCCTGAGCTTGATTCCTCGTTCCCGGGGTGAGGAGGGGATCTGGGGTCCTTGTTGGGTGCCTGCACTTCAGCCTTCTTCCAGCACATCCCTCCTCCTGCACGATATCCATTGGGAAGTGATACGGAGCAGCATCGAGCCATCCCACAGCCTCCTGTGGCAACGGGATGTCCCCCTCTGACAGAGGCCTTGGCTAATGCCAACCTGCCCCAAGCCATGGGATTGGAGATCAGCTCCCAGCTGTCATCCTATGGGAATTCCAGGGGTTCTGGCTGGTTCGCTTCCCAGCCCTGCACCCATCCATGGCACCCAGATACACTTGGGGACCTCAGAGCATCTCAGCCGCTCTCCTCTGCACAGGGTTACCTTTGCCGTTGCGATTCCTATGTAGAAGATGGGATCTCGGCATTCCAGGCACCCTGATCCCGGGATACAGAGCCACCTCAGCACCCTCTGCCCCTCCAAAAGGGCTTATCCATGGTGGAAGAGCCGGTGTCACCCATGGAAGATGCCATCATCCCCTCCTCGGCACAATGGGCTACCTCACCCTCCGATGGGCACTGTCCTGGTGTGATCCATGGAAGCATGGGAAGGGCAGCGAATCCCATCCTTGGGATTCATCCATCCCGTTCCACTGGGCCTGGGGGGGGGGGGTCTGGGTGAGGGACATGGGAGCTGGGGGTGGTTTCCTTGCCAAAACCCCCCAAATCCAACCCAATTTGGGGGTGGCAACGACCTCACAGGGTGTATTTGGGCACGGTAGCTCCCACCTCCACATCCACAGCTCTTCTCGGGAGGGGGTGCCAGTATTCCCAGGCACGGGGCCGGGATTAAATCCCCTGGGATTCTCCCTGCCTGTTTATGGAGCGTTGGAGCCTCATAGACGTGTTTGTACACTATGGATTCTGCAGCAGAATATTTCTGTCTCTGTTTTTGTTGGTGGGGTTTTTTTTGTAAGCTCTATTTTTGTATATTTAAGGCTATTTTCAACTCCAAGCGAGGCGATTTTTGCTATTCCCGCTCTTGGGAAGGGAAAGAAGGGGGAAAACAAACCTGGAAAAGGCCAATGGTTTGCATGGGAGTTGACTTGGAATGTAAATAAAAAGCAGGTTTTGGAAGCGGGGGTGTGTTTGCAAGGGGAGCTGCCCATGGGATACCCATGGACATCGCTCCGTGCTCAGCCCTATGGCACCGATGGATGTTCCACCCCACTTGGGCCTCAAAACTGGGCTGGTTTGGGGAAGGGGGTTTCCCCTTGTCTGTGTTTCCCAGCTAGATGAGGGAATTCCTAATGGTGGAGCTGGTTCCTGGCTCCATGTGCACTGGAATTCCCTGGCCCAGGGGGGTTTGGAGGTTTCCCCACTCAGGAAGAGGTTCCTCCTCTGACCAACCTGAGACACCCTGGCTGTGGGCAGTGAAGCCTGGCTAATGCCAACCTCCCACCAGTCAGGGGATTGGAGATCGGCTCCCAGGCTCCATCCTATGGGAATGCCCCTGGTTCCAGCTCCAAATCCCATCTCAACTCCCCCTGCTCTTCATCGGGTGGAAAATGAGTGGGAAAAAAACCTTTTCCCCCTCTTCAAACCCCATCTGGGTGCTCAGCTGTGGCCACCAGCACAAAGCTGATGTGGAGGCAGTGGAGCTCCCATTGTTGTCCCCTGTTCCCTCTCTCTGCCCAGTGCAGGGGGCTGCTGCCCTCTAGTGCTGCCTGGGGCATGGAGATGTCCTGTGGCACCTTCTCCATAAGGAAGCAGAGGGACCCGACCTGCTCCACTCTGAGGCTGCTTCTGGAAGCTCTGCACAGTCGTGGCCATGAGGAGCTCATAGGGGAAGCTTCTGGCTGCTGGCACAAAGCAGCAGAGGGTCTGACCCAGCCCTGGCTGGATGTGGCACGGACAGCATGGAATCAGGGGCAGGTTCGGCTTAGAAGGGGCCTTAAAGCTCATCCAGTTCCAAGCCCCTGCCACAGGCAAGGACCCCTTCCACTGGAGCAGCTTGCTCCAAGCCCCTGTGTCCAACCTGAGTAAGAGCAGCTCCAGTGCCTAAAGGGGCTGCAGGAAAGCTGGAGAGGGGCTTGGGACAAGGGCCTGTAGGGACAGGCCAAGGGGAATGGCTTGAACCTGCCCGAGGGGAGACTGAGCTGAGCTCTTAGGTAGAAGCTCTTCCCTGTGAGGGTGCTGAGGCGCTGGCACAGGGTGCCCAGAGAAGCTGTGGCTGCCCCATCCCTGGCAGTGCTCAAGGCCAGGTTGGACACAGGGGCTTGGAGCAAGCTGCTCCAGTGGAAGGTCTTAAGGTCCCTTCCAAACCATTCCATGATTCTATGATCCCAAGGCTGGGAAGAAAGGCTGGATCACAGATTACAGACCGTGCCCAGGCCGCTTTGCTCACTGAAGCTGCTCTCCACTCTCAGCATCACGGTTGTTCCAAGAGCCTTTATTCAGTACAATCTGCATCCCGAGGTGTGAGATCCTCAGGGATCCTGCTCTCAGCTCCACGTTGCAGGCTGCAGGTACAGAGGGAGCAGAGCAGTGCAGTATGTGTATGGGAAGCAGAGAGGATCCCCCCCGAGCTACAACACTTCAGCAATCCATAGAGGTAAAAGGCAGATTCCCGAGCAGATCCCAAGTGTCCAAGTGAAAACCAGGAGCTCTTTGGTATAGTTCTATGCAGCAGAGTTGTACAACAGAGCAAGGATATAAACCAAGCAAACACACAACATCAAACCCCACTGTTAGCAATGTCCAGGTCAGAGGTTGAGACCTCCCAGCACATCCCAAAGGGCACTGTGGTCTGTATGGAAGTGTTGGGGGGTAAAATGGGAATGAACCTGTGACACAAGATTAGTGCCTCACCTTTGGTCTCCAGCAGCCAGGTAAGAAAGGGTTGTAACAGGACTGAAGCCCTGTGTTCCAACAGTTCAGAGGACAGATTCCAGCCGTATGGATCTGGGATGCGGGGCTCTGTGCCCTGGACACACAACGTACCAAGGACATGACACAGAACGCTGCAGGCTGAGCTCTGGGAGCATGAACCCAGCACATGCTGCACACACAGGGATCCTGATGGATTCCTGCTGTTCCATCCCATTAAACACACAGGCTATATGGAAAGGGGGACGTGATGGGAGTGCTGAAGGTCAAGCACCATGTTCAGCAGTGCAGCTGCACGTCCTCCTCCTGAACCAACCTGCTTGTCACTGAGGATGGGGTTCACAGAGACACGAACACAAGAGTCCTTCCCTTTGCTTCCAATGAGATGGGGTGACCCAGGAAGCGCCCCGACGCCATAGATCCAACGTCAGGAAGCTGTGCAGAGTCAAGGGGAATCCAGGAGTTCCAGCAGAGCCCCGACTGCACCAAAATAACCCTGAGGAGCAGAGAGGACAACCCATGGAAGACTCAGGCGTGGGCAGACACCTGATGCAAGGACAGTGTGACACACAGGGTGTGATGGCAACAGCTTATAAAGGATGGTGGAAAGAAAGAACTTGGGCTGGGTTTGGGTGGCAGGAGCTTGGTACCAGGGGGATACAAGGGTGGCTTCCATGAGAAGCTGCCAGAAGCTTCCCTGATGTCTTATGGAGCCAGTGCAGCTGGATCCAAGGTGGACCCGCTGCTGGCCAAGGCTGAGCCTGTCAGTTATGGTGACAGCTCCTCTGGGATAAGGGATTTGAGAAGGAGAAATGCCCTGTGCAGCTGTAGCTGGAGAGAGGAGAACACGTACAGGGGCAGCCCTGCAGAGCCCAAGGGCAGTGCAGGAGGAGGCAAGGAGGTGCTCCAGGCACCAGAGCAGAGGTTCCCTTTGCAGCCCATGGGGAAGCATCATGCTGCGTCCCTGCCTGCAGCCCCATGCCAGAGCCCAAAGGAGGCTGTGATCCCATGGGAAACTCACGCTGTGGCCCCATGGCAAGAGGAGCCCACACTGGAGCAGGTTTGCAGGCAGGGACTCGTGACCCTGCAGAGGATCCACGCTGTTCCTGAAGGGCTGCACCCCATGGGAGGGACCCACACAGAACTGCAGCCCATTGGACTCCCATTGGAGCAGTCCCTGGAGGACTGTGTCCTGTGGGAGGGACTCCACGCTGGAGCAAAGGAGGAGTGTGAGGATCCTCCCCTGAAGAGGAAGGAGCGGCAGAGACAGGGTGTGATGAACTGACCACAGCTCCCATTCCCTGTCCCCCTGCACCACTGTGGGGAGGAGGTGGAGCACTGGGGAGCGAAGCTGAGCCCAGGAAGAAGGGGAGGAGGGGGAAGTGTTAAGGTTTGGGTTGATTTCTCGCTACCCTGCTCTGGTTTCATTGGGAACAAACTCATTTCCCCAGTTGCAGTCTGTTTGCCCATGATGGTAACTGGTGAGTGAGCTCTCCCTGCCCTTACTTAGACCCAGGAGCCTTTAGTTACATGTCCTCTCTCCTCTCCCCATCCAGCTGAGGGGGCAAGTGACAGAGTGATTCTGGGGAGCTTCTGGTGTCCAGCCAGGGTCAATTCACCACACAGCTACAGGTGGGTGCATGAGAAAACAGCCTGTAACTATCATTGCTGCAGTGGAACACAGAGCTGCACGCAGTCCTCCTGCTGTCATAGAGAATCACAGCATGGTTTGGGTTGGAAAGGACCTTAAGATCATCCAGTTCCAACCCCCTGCTATGGGCAGGGACACCTCATGGTCTTCAAAGTTCCCAAGTGAGATGCAATTGGTAGTAAATAGCTACTGAAACAATACCTGTGATTCTTCTGACCCTGCACTGGCACTGCAGTAACCCAGCACTGGGAACCCAGTGCACAATGCGTATGCACAAGTACAGGCTGCAGTAACGCAGCAGTAGGAACTGCTGCACAACGTGGATCAACTGGTACAGACTCCACGTGGCTCTTCCCAGAGTGTGTAAAGGACGTGTGTTTTGCCCCAAGAGAGATGTAAAGGGTGATTTCACCTCATGCTCCAAGAAGAGTGCTTTCAACTGTCCTTTCGACCAGTAATCCAAAGCATAGGCCAGGAGCCTCATGGAGATGGTATTGATCCGAAGGAAGTTGCCAACGAACACCACTCGATTGATGTTCTGCAAGGAGGAAGGAAACAAAGGGAACATTAAGGGTAAATCCCATTTTCTGCTTGTAATGATGAAACCCCTACCTTAGAGGAAGAATAAAGTTACACTTATAGTGCCTTTGAAACACCATATGCAGAGGTGAGGGGGAGAATCCCCTTCTTGCCCTTGAGCTCATGCTCTGGGGGTGCAGCCCTCTGTGGATGTTCCTTGCATACCACATTTCCTAACACCTCCCCCTAACTACTCAGCAGCCTACTTGAAAGTGAGGACTCAGCAGATGTATTGTAAGCAAGCCTCTAATATCTTGCCTGGTGCCTGCAGTAAATGAAGGTAACAGCAAAAGGAGCCAGGAGGATGCTCCCCCCCGTTAGCTCATCCCATCGGAACAGGCTCCAAATGGAGTGGAGAGCATGTCTCTGTTCTTTCATAGCCCTGTACAATGCTGCTTGACATGAATGCAACAAGGCAGCACTGTAAAGAAGCTGAAAGCACAAAGATCCAGGAACGGCTGTGGAAGTGGTGGGGCCTGGCCAGGAAATCGAGAGGAACTGATGGAAACAACACAGGGAAGATACCCATCCTCTACATCCCTCCATCCCACCTCTCCTTCCCTCAGCATTCCCGAGAGCTGTGATTCATCACACACCTACTGTTCCTCAAACCACCCCAGGGAAGCTGTTTAACTCCTGAGCAAGCAGAGGCCCTCAGGAGACCACAGATTCATTCATAGCACAAGGATCTGCCTCAAAGCACCCAAAGGAAGGAGAAAATTTACTGGAGAATCCAAAGAGAGTGGATTACAACTTCCTAAACATCCAAAGAGATGAGTATGAACACGTCATCTACAGAAGCCAATGTAGGGAAAGAGATTCCACATGACAGGAACACACCAGGGATGCTTTAGATGGGAAGCAATGACACAGATTCCCCCCAGTACCTCATTCAGTGCACACATCCGGGCTATGGAGCCAATGTTGTTCGTGATGGTTATTAGAGTAGCCTTGGCCAGGTCCTCTTTGCTGACAGAGTCCCGCTTCTCCTTGCTCATCATGTTTCCAAAGCTGGAAAGACAGGTTTGGGGTTAAAGGTCCATTTGCATCAGAACTGCAGGAGAAAACGGGAACTCCTCATTTAACCAAAGGGATTCACCTTGAAGTATTTATGTGTGTCCCCTATATAAATATGTCCCATCCCTTGCAGTGTTCAAGGCCAGGTTGGACACAGGGGCTTGGAGCAAGCTGCTCTAGTGGAAGGTGTCCCTACTCGTGGCAGGGGGTTGGAGCTGGAGGAGCTTTAAGGCCCCTTCCTTGCAGGATCTCCAGTGCAGGTGACACTGTCAGTCCTTACCTGGATGCCACAGCCCAGCCTGGCAACCCGAACCGCTCGTAGTCTCCTCCATAGATGTCCCGCACCAGTTTGTCCACTTTGGTGCTGTCCCCATGGGATGCCATCTCGAGGGCCTCTTCAAAGGTGGAGCAACCAGTCAGAAGGCAGCAGAGACCAAAAAAGGTTCCTCCTCCAAGGCTGCAAGGTAAAGCAAAAATGACTGTGACCCACCCTGTTTCTAAAGAGACAGAGCAGGGAAATGGTTCATTGCACTGAAGATTGAGATGGGCTCTTAGGCAGAAGCTCTTCCCTGTGAGGGTGCTGAGGCGCTGGCACAGGGTGCCCAGAGAAGCTGTGGCTGCCCCATCCCTGGCAGTGCTCAAGGCCAGGTTGGACACAGGGGCTTGGAGCAAGCTGCTCCAGTGGAAGGGGTCCCTGCCTGTGGCAGGGGTTGGAGCTGAGTGAGCTTTAAGCTCCCTTCCAACACAAACCAGGCTGGGATTCTATGAAATATCAGTCCTGAGAAGTAACTGGAGTGCCAGGGCACTGCTATCCAAAACTCAGGGGGAAAAACCATGTCCTGTCTTCAAGAAGGACAAGTGCAGCAGCCCAGCGACTGCCTGGGGAATTGCTGCAGTGCTGGTGTCCCTGCCAGCAAACTATACCTTACTTTGGAAGCCAGGACGCAAATCTCTACTGCCAGGATCAAAGCTAACAACTGTCAACAGGATTACTGTGAGGATATCTGCGATAATCCCAAACTATGATGGCCAATAAACCACTTGAATTCCTGCAGCAGGGCAAAACCAGCTTCTAAAGAGATTGGCTGCAGTACAGAGACCAAACCATGGAATCCAGATCCTCCGATCCAGAGATAAGGGACTGCAGTAAAAGCAGGAGCTTGGTCATTCAACTCACCACATTTATGGTCCCTAGAAGTGTCATTTACAGTGCACAAACACATTCCAAACCCCAAAATGAAACTCAATTTCCCCCCTTCCAGCACTCACCTGGTGCCTGTCACCCGCTTGTAGTTGTCTTTTGAATACACAGCCAAAATGCTGACCCCTGAGCCGATGTTCACCAGGAGGAGAGGATATGGGTTCTCCAGGTTGAATGGGAGCTTCTGACATCTCTCAGCATCCGTTGGGTTCTCAAAATAGTAACACTCTGAGTGTCCATTGAAGCCAACGGAATCAATGTACAGAACCCCTTTAATAAGGCAATCGAGTTCATCCAGTTTGCAAAGCTGAAGGTCACCCATCTGGCAGGGAGAAAGAAAGGAGAAGGTTGAGGAATTCAGCCAGGGATCTCAAGTGTTCATGCTCAGGGCTAGAGAAGTGCCTTCACTGCCAGCTAAATGCAGTCATCTCCATGCAGGAGCTTGGATCATGGGGAGAGCTCCATCTTTCTCCATGCACATGGGCTGCAAACTGCCCCTGAAGTGTGTAGATGGGGCAGAGGGGAGATACAAAGAGCTCAATGCACTGATGGACATTGAGAGAATCCCAGCGACTTCCATGGGCCTGATGTAGGCTGAGGCACTAGCATGAAAAACAAGGAAAAATGAGAAGGGACTGAAGTGTTTGTGACCAAAAGAATCCCCCAAACCCATCCCTAAAACCATCAAAAGAGGGATTTATGAATCACTTTCCCCTCTTGTCACTGCCTCCACTGCACAAAAGCCTCTGTATTTGGTGCATTTTGTCAAGCTCTGGTTAAAGAAAGGCTTTATCACCCATTTTCCACCTATGAACAAGAATCATAAAATCATAGAATAGTTTGGGTTGGAAAGGACCTTAACACCATCAAGTTCCAACCCCCTGCCATGGGCAGGGACATCTCACAATAAACCATGGCACCCAAGGCCTCATCCAACCTGGTCTTGAACACTGCCAGGGATGGAGCATCCACAGCTTCCCTGGGCAACCCATTCCAGTGCCTCACCACCCTCACAGGAAAGAATTTCCTCCTTATATCCAATCTAAACTTCCCCTGTTTCAGTTTTAACCCATTACCCCTTGTCCTATCACTACAGTCCCTAATGAAAAGTCCCTCCCCAGCATCCCTATAGGCCCCCTTCAGATACTGGAAGGCTGCTCTGAGGTCTCCATGCAGCCTTTCCAATGAAGCCACATGATGATATCAAACCCCAACTATTAACCTCCTCTCAGTCAGTTCACCACCACATCGGGCTGAACCTCTATAGCTCACTCACATGCGTGTTAGAAATGAAACCACATGAGCAAAGGAACAATAAATCTCATATTAAGCATGTGAAAGACAGCAGTAAGGAAAAACCCCCATAAGATTGAGATCAGCATAAGCAGAGATTCATAATTCAGGCTGGAGATAAGGAAGCTCCTCCCTGTGAGGGTGCTGAGGCGCTGGCACAGGGTGCCCAGAGAAGCTGTGGCTGCCCCATCCCTGGCAGTGTTCAAGGCCAGGTTGGACACAGGGGCTTGGAGCAAGCTGCTCCAGTGGAAGGGGTCCCTGCCCGTGGCAGGGGTTGGAGCTGGATTTAAGCTTTAAGGTCCCTTCCAACCCAAACCATTCCATGATTTTACAAGAGAGGGAGCAGCTTGTAATAGCTAATACTGTGTAAGTCAGTGAGTAATTTCAGAGTTAGATGAATGTTACATGCACAGAAATGATCCTCATTTGGAGATGCAAACTCGGCTCCACCTGCTGTTTCCTGCACCAAGTTTCAGTTGGGTTAAGCACACATTTCCAAAGCTAAGACTCCGAGCACCTGCAGAGAAAGCTTTCTAGTTTTAAGCTTTAAACCAGACTTCATTCCCAGATCCTTAACCGTATAGAAGCCAAAGATGCCTACTGTGAGAAAGTCCTGCTCAAATTTGTACGCTCCACCTCCCGTGGCACATAAGGTAGTATGGAGGCTTGAGAAGTGCTTTTCGCTTCCCATTTGGATAAAAGCAGGCATGTCATGAGTAGGAAAGCGTATAAAGTGCAGATTGCCTTTACGTCCACACAGGGTAAGGTCCTTTAGTTCCAAGTGCACATCCCGGATGCCTGTGGATCCATAAGCTACGTTTGATGTCAGGTATTTACGGATGCTTTTGAGGTTTTCCACTTCTTCTTCTTCCTCTTCAGCTGTGATGTCCTTTGGTTCAAAATACACGAGTTTGACCAAGGTGCCTCCGATATCCAAACCAAACCATGGGAACGCTGCAGAGAGGAGACAAAAAAGAACCAAGTTACAAACCGAATCATCAGCAAAAGAGTTCTAAACTGAATGAATCCATGCAGCTCTCTAGGGGCTGCAATATCCTGTTTGATCTATTCAAGTGGGAAATGAAGGGAGAATCATTACCAGCCTGGTCTGTCCTTGGCTGAGACTCCTCTGTGAATGGGGACAACTCCTGTTCTGAGATACGTGTTTGGAAGCTCCAATTGCACTGACAGGCAATGCTCAAAGTACACGCAGCACTGAAGATACACCCAGCACAGATACACCCCCTAAATACTGCTGTAAATGTAATCCCCAGCTATTCCTTTTATAAAGTCCTCATCCAGAGACAGAGCCAAGGATAATACCAGTGCTTTTACATCAAAGGGATGTTACACATGTTAACTAATTACAGCCCAGAAGTGAGGTACGTGGTACCTCACATTACAGCACGTAACTGAGGCAGGCAAGTCATCTAAGATGCCCCAGGGAGACAAAAGCAAATGTCTAATTGGATTATTTTATTAGGCAAATTCCTCCCCTGGTTAAAAGTATGCATCAGGGTCAGGCTCAGCACCATTTACAGCTGGGGGAGATAAAGAGCTGCTTGGAAAAGATCAAGAGAAAGCCCTGATCAGATGGAATCTGTGATTAGAGATGAAAAGTGGAACAGATTAATATTAGTATTAACGAGTTAAGGATAGACCAGAGCTAATGAGAGACACAGAGCAAAGAGAAAATGTAGCCACATGTTATGGCAGCGGGATGAAACCCTTGAGGGGTTTTCCAGAAGGAAAAAGGGCATGTTTAGAATATAAACCTGTTATTAATGTTCCTCTGGGAAGAAGGAGCTCAGGTTTGGGTACAATTCTTACATCACAGTATTCAGTGTCGTTCTTATAGGCCAGGCTGGACAGGGCTTGGAGCAACCCCATCTAGCATGATGCATCCCTGCCTATAGCAGGGGTTGGAACTGGATGATTTTAAGCCCTTTCCCACCCAAACCATTCCATGATTCTATGACAGACAGGCACGGTAACATGCTACTGGTAGCTCTGCAATATATGTTTGCTTATCTACAGACAGAAGTGGGCCACACAAAGAAGCCCTCGTCCCTCCCACCATTTCGAAGCAGGAGTCCCTCTGGTTAAGCTCAAGGATGCAGCAGCCACCCCCAAACTGCAAGAGCATGTTCTTTGTCCCCTTCCGTCCCAGCAGTAAGACAGCAATACCCACATACCCAGAGGCAGCGCTTAAAAAAGCTGAAGAGCAAAGAAAACAGCTCAGAGGCAGGAGGGGAACTCGATCCCAAAGCAAAGGCACAAACCCTGCAGGTAAGGGCATGTCTGAAGTGAATGCAGCCTCTCCTCAGTGGGTTAACTCGGTTGCTGTGCAGAGCACAGGTGGAACTTGCCTTTTCAGAGCATCCCAGCTCCTCAGAGCTGCTGGAACCATGCAGCACTTACCCAGGGTATTTATAAACCACTGGGTTATTATTACATAGATTTACAGAGGGGCCACCCCCAGCCATTCCCAAACGAAATGTTGAAAGAAGATGCAAACTATTTTCAGAGGCACATCCAAATCCCCATCACTCTCTAACTCTGATGCATTCACTTCAAACAAGAACAGGGATAAAAATAACTTGCAATGAATGAGAGAGACGAATCTGAATCAGGGGCCAATGGAGAAAGAAAGCAGGAGCAATTCAAGGACGTTTTCAGGGCAGTCTGTCATTCTGCACTCCCGAAATGAATTCCACAATTGCAAACAGCATCCAGCTCTGGGGCAGCAGCACAAGAGGGACGTGGAGCTGTTGGAGCGAGGTCAGAGGAGGCCATGGAGATGCTGCGAGGGCTGGAGCAGCTCTGCTCTGGAGCCAGGCTGAGAGAGCTGGGCTGGGGCAGCCTGGAGAAGAGAAGGCTCCTGAAGGGGAGACCTTAGAGCAGCTCCAGTGCCTGAAGGGGCTGCAGGAAAGCTGGAGAGGGGCTTGGGACAAGGGCCTGTAGGGACAGGCCAAGGGGAATGGCTTGAACCTGCCCGAGGGGAGACTGAGCTGAGCTCTTAGGCAGAAGCTCTTCCCTGTGAGGGTGCTGAGGCGCTGGCACAGGGTGCCCAGAGAAGCTGTGGCTGCCCCATCCCTGGCAGTGTTCAAGGCCAGGTTGGACACAGGGGCTTGGAGCAAGCTGCTCCAGTGGAAGGGGTCCCTGCCCGTGGCAGGGGTTGGAGCTGGAGGAGCTTTAAGGTCCCTTCAACCCAAACCATTCCATGATTCTGTGACTCTCAGTGCTCTCAAAACCTTCAAACTTTTAAACGTATAAATTCACTTTTCATTCAGGTTTTGTTACAGCTGCCACTGAACCAGCAGAACATCAAGTGTGGGTTAAACCCCACCAGTTACCCACTGCTGGGCACACCAGAGGACACGGCCATCAGGGCCCCAAGAAGGATGGCAGCAGAGCTGGGTGTGAACTGCAGGCAGGATGGGCTCAGGGCTTGCTCATCTTGAGTCCCCCAAAAGAGCATCCAACCCCCCCGTGCTGAGATACAATCTCAGACAGGAGCTGGCTTCACACATCCAGCTGCTAAAAGCCTCTGGCATTCCCTATCTGGGAATAGCTCGGCTGTAACTTCAGTAAGTCACCAGGGATGAATTTGAAGAGAGCCCATTAATGTAATTAACTTAAACCAAATGGTTCTTAATTATGCAGTTCTCATTATATACATCCCAGACACAGGTTAGGAATGCAAGGAAGCAATGGGCCTGCTCAAAATGAGGTACTTCTTCCCTACACTGGAAAGAGTTTTCTACACAGAGCACTCAAATTCTGTGGGGCAGGAACAGAACTTCCTCTCTAAAGACCTTCCTGTAGGACGTGGGTGCAGCACGCAAACAGGAGGAGGAAATTCTCTCTCAGTGACAGGGAGAACTGCTGGTTTTCACTTACAGGAAGCCATCCAACACGAACATGGAGGGCAATGACAGCTCTTCCATGTCTGAGAACTGGAAAAATCCTCCTCCTTCAAAGAGAGGAAGGAGGAAGCTCTCCTGGATGAAGGCCAACACCATCTGCTATCGAGATCTCTCCTAAAACACTGATTTTCCCAGCATTTACAGTGCAGCCACAAGCACCCGAGGAGCTCTGTCCTTTTTAACTCTGAAGCATCTTTCCCAAGAGAGCTGCTGCAGAAGATCGCAATATCCCAGCCTGGTTCATGTTGGAAGGGAGCTTAAAGCTCCTCCAGCTTCAAACCCTGCCACGGGCAGGGACCCCTTCCACTGGAGCAGCTTGCTCCAAGCCCCTGTGTCCAACCTGGCCTTGAGCACTGCCAGGGATGGGGCAGCCACAGCTTCTCTGGGCACCCTGTGCCAGCGCCTCAGCACCCTCACAGGGAAGAGCTTCTGCCTTATCTCCAACCTGAAACTTCCCCTGTTTCAGTTTGAACCCATCACCCCTTGTCCTGTCGCTACAGTCCCCGATGAAGAGTCCCTCTCCAGCATCCTTGTAGCCCCTTTCAGACACTGGAAGCTGCTCTGGGGTCTCCACACAGCTTCTCTTCTCCAGACTGAACAATCCCAATGTTCCCAGCCTGTCTCCATACAGAAGGTGCTCCAGTCCCTGCTCATCCTCATGGCCTCCTCTGGACTTGCTCCAACAGCTCCATGTCCTCCTTATGCTGAGGACACGTTAGAGCAGTGTGAGAACTGGCAGCATCCAGGAGCCTCTGGGCAGCCAGAGGGCGATTTTTCCCTGTTAGAAGGTTCTGCTGAAACAACCAGAGCAAGAAGACACCAGTTTTAAAGGCCAAGACAGAAAATGCAAATGATGCTTCTCTTCACCACCTCCCTGCTGCCACCTGGAGCCCTCCATGCAGGAGAAGAGCCTCACACATCTCTCCAAGCACTCACCAGCCAGAGAGGGACGGGGAGGATGAGAAACCTCTGGGATGGGAAGAGCATCACTGGATGAACCTCTGAACTGTTCCTGCCCAGCACCATCGAGAAGTGTTTAGTCTCTCACTGGGTGTTTGGACATGTAAAAGAAAGGCAGGAAATCCTCTCCCCATGGCCAGAAGTGCTCTCTATCCAAAACCTGTTACAATCTTTTCCCTTAAAGAAACCCTACAGTAATTTCTTAGCACAGTAACAGCCACTGATCTGACTCTTAAACACTGGGTAAGATACAAAATAAATCCAAGTGTTCTCAGTGTGAAAAGCATGTTCAGGTGCTTCATGGGAGCAGCTCTGCTCTGGAGCCAGGCTGAGAGAGCTGGGCTGGGGCAGCCTGGAGAAGAGAAGGCTCCTGAAGGGGAGACCTTAGAGCAGCTCCAGTGCCTAAAGGGGCTGCAGGAAAGCTGGAGAGGGGCTTGGGACAAGGGCCTGTAGGGACAGGCCAAGGGGAATGGCTTGAACCTGCCCGAGGGGAGACTGAGCTGAGCTCTTAGGCAGAAGCTCTTCCCTGTGAGGGTGCTGAGGCGCTGGCACAGGGTGCCCAGAGAAGCTGTGGCTGCCCCATCCCTGGCAGTGTTCGAGGCCAGGTTGGACACAGGGGCTTGGAGCAAGCTGCTCCAGTGGAAGGGGTTCCTGCCTGCGGCAGGGGTTGGAGCTGGAGGAGCTTTAAGCTCCCTTCCAACCCACTCTGATTCCATGGAAAGCAGCAGGGGTAGGAAGAAGGTGACTTAGGGAACTGGCAAGACTGCAGCATCACTCCGCTGTTCAGGCTCACAACCGTGAGCCCTATTTTCATTTCCTCCCCAACACACTACATTGTCACTGCTGTCATAAAGCATCTTAAAGCCATTTTTTCCCTTCAAGGAAAAATATTCTTCATCTTTTGGCCTGACACAGTTTTGTTCTCTCTTAACACAGACACTTTTAACAGCTCTATACACACATTTTCATTCACACAGTGTACGTTCAACTCTCATCTTAAACATAAACCTTCCACTGGGCAGACCTATGGATACACAACAGGAGCAGAAGAGCAGGATGCAAACAAGGCGAAGGGCTCACAGCTCATACCAAATACCTGGCACACAGAGAAGCTCAAGGATGCTGTGTGTTCCCTTCAGCTCCAAACCCCCTTTAGGGTTACACTGTGAGCTCCTTGAGGCAAGAAGAATCCAATCTGTTGTGGAAATGACTTTATAAAATTAGACACTGCATAACTAAAACTCAACAGAGTTCTTCTGAACGCTGCAGAATGATGAAAGATGTGATAGAATTAAAGGTCTCGTGGTGGATTTTCTTTGTATGACAGCAGCTCAAGCCCTATTTCAGCCTGATCCTGAAGTTATGAGCCAATTATATCAGAAGCTAAAAAGATTAAGGCAGTGGAGCAGCAAAGACTGGCAGTTTAGTTGAGTGCATGACAGCAGCTCTGTGCTTCCTCTAAAATAGCCCATATTATATTTAATAGTGTTATACCACGATGGAACATTTACAGCTGGGGAAGAAAGAAATGTTCAGCAGCATTTAATAGAGAGTGACACTAAGCCCACACATCCTCCCAACCCTAAAAATAGGCTCTGCTGGGAATTCACCTTCAATCCACAATTCCAAACCATAAAGAGGTATTGAAAAAGCAAAGCTTAAAACGTTGCACTGCAACAGAGCTGCCCAAAGGGCATCTTAATTGTAGCTCTCTGTGGATACTGTGTATATGGAGAGGTTAAAGCAAGGTGCATATTGTGGCTTTGAATGAGCCTGATGGAAGATACTAACATATAAATAAAGGTGAATGGATGAGGAAATGCTTTTTGAGTTTTTAAACCCCACATGGATGCATTTTTAGACACTATTTGCAGGATGCTGCTCCTAAACTCCTCTCTGGCAGGGACAGGTTTTCAGGAAGGAGAAGCATGGAATTGCTGGAAGAATGGGAGAAGAGGAAAAGGGGGAAGCTGATGAACTGGATCCCTGACCTGTTTCTCTTACCATAAAGACAATCCATTACAAAAAGCATTCCCTGCCTCATCATGATGTGGTCAGCACTGGTTTCTGCCCTGGCACTTCACCCTGCCCACAGCAGCCCTGTGGAATCCCACAGTTACATTAAACAGCACATGAATATCTCTTTACTCATTGGGGGTATTTCCAGTTCAGTTTTGAAGTGCAGATTTCAATAGTGCCACTGGGAATTCATTACCAGAAAGGAATTCTTCTGCATGGTCTCAGGGGCAGATAAAGCTTTTTCTGTAGTATCCTTGCTGCTTGTACTACTAATTCCATCAAGCTCCTCCTGACAGCCCATCAACAGACCTCAGAGCAGCTCCCAGTGCCTAAAGGGGCTGCAGGAAAGCTGGAGAGGGGCTTGGGACAAGGGCCTGTAGGGACAGGCCAAGGGGAATGGCTTGAACCTGCCCGAGGGGAGACTGAGCTGAGCTCTTAGGCAGAAGCTCTTCCCTGTGAGGGTGCTGAGGCGCTGGCACAGGGTGCCCAGAGAAGCTGTGGCTGCCCCATCCCTGGCAGTGTTCAAGGCCAGGTTGGACACAGGGGCTTGGAGCAAGCTGCTCCAGTGGAAGGGGTCCCTGCCCGTGGCAGGGGTTGGAGCTGGAGGAGCTTTAAGCTCCCTTCCGACACAAACCAGGCTGGGATTCTATGAACACAACGCTAGACCAGGTTGCTCCCCAGTACTAAATCCTCCTTGGTCTCAGACCTCCCTGATCTCTGCAGTGACCCAGCTCTCACTGCACGTTACTGGTACAGGTGATGGGGAAGGAGAAAGATCAGGAGCTCCAGCACAGCCGGCAGGAATCCCATCATTCCTGGGGAAGCAGAGCTCATCTGCCAAGGCATCTGCCAGCACAGGCTGGCAAGACAAATGTCAAGGTCACCCAGCCTGTGTGCCACGTGCCAGCAGCAGGGACGCGGGAGCTGGTTAGCACGTGTTTGATCACACCCCCATTAAGCAGTGTGCTTTCATTTAGGCTTCCTTGGATGCTCCCCAAGGTGGGATCAAGCATTTTGACTTCAAAATGCAATTTACTCACACATCAGATGTTGTCCCTATTAACGCATGTGCTGTTGCAGCACTTTTCCAGTTACCATAAGAATCGTTCAGGAAGGACAGGCCACGCTGTAATCCCCAGCTGCACTACACTGACCTTCCAGATTGGATCCAAATCCTGCCTTGGAAGCTGCCAAAATACCTCTTTTCCTAAAAGCATCCCAAACCAGGCTCTGTATTTAATGTTACCCAGCAAACCACCAGCCCAACAGCCAACTTCCACCTACATCTTCCACGGAACACCCAGAAACAGAGGCAAAAGACTATAACCACCTACTGCCCAGTTCCACCTAAGCCCACCCTGTCATTCCAGAGATGCCCTTCATTTCCCTGGGGATGACTGCAACCTATTAACTACTGTTAGCTGCAACTACAACCCCAGAGCTCCCACTGGTGATTCCTTACAACAGCAGCCCCACACGTGCACGTTCACATCCAAAGCTGGTTTTGGTGCAGGATGCTCCCCACTGCTGGTGCTCTTACACCTCCACCACATTTCTCTCTTATCCTATGGATTCTTTGGCAAGCAAAACCCCTGCAACGGCCTCAGTTATTGAAGGGTAACTTTAGAACCATTCCCATGCGCAGGATCACTCCTGTAATACAGCAAGATGTGGGAATGGAAGGAAGGGAGAGGCAGAGCCACTCGGCCACTGCATTAGCACTGCCTGGAATTAGCACTGCCAAAGCAGCAGCCGGTTCAGCAAATGTCTTCTGAAGTCTTCATAGAGGATTCCTATTTTCTACACTATGTCAGGGTAAAAGAAAAGCTTTTTTCTTCCCCAGTAACCAAAACAAGAGAAAGAATCCTATTTCATGTGTTCCATTTCGACAGCAGCATCGCAGCATTTCCAGCCAACAAACTGCTTTGCTACGAGCTGCAGGACAATTCGGATTCCCATTTCCAGCCTGGCCTCATTCTAAGAGCTGTGCAGGTAGCAGGGAACCACACTGATGCTGTTCCATCCTCAGGGTACAGCAACTGCGCCCCATAGGAAGGACTCCAGCGCGAGGAAAGAAAGAATCCCTCAGTCCCACCTCCAACATGGCTGAAGCCAGTGAGCAGCCACCTCAAGGCAGCTCCTGCTGCTGCCAAAATGAAGGCTGCCATCCATTTTGCACCTAACTCCCTCCAGGACAGCTTCCGACAGAGCATTTCAAAGCACGGTCCAGGGGGTGGCTCCTGCATTGCCAAGGCTGTGCCCAGCCCCTCCAAACTTGTGGCTGACACCATTCTCTCTGCTCTCTGCTGCTTTTCTCCCCCAGCCCCAAGCCCAGCAGCACAGCCCTGCCCTCCTGGCCCCGGGTCTGTCCTTCTGCCTCCTCTTCCTCGCGTGTCCTCAGCAGTGACCTTCCCTCCTGCCCCGATCCAAGGTCCCCAGCTCAGGCACCTCAGCATCTGCCACAGCCTCAACCTCTGTGTCCTGCCCCACAGACCAGGCACCAGCTCACCTTGAGTCTCCCAGAGCCCCTAAAGCTTGTCCCATCTCCACACCAACCTGCTGAACCCCTGTCCCACTGTGTCCCCACTGTGCTGTTCCCATAGCAGCCATGCTGGACATGTTATCACCCCACTGTGTCCCCACTGTGCTGTTCCCATAGCAGCCATGCTGGACATGTTATCACCCCATTGTGTCCCCACCGTGCTGTTCCCAGACTGGTCATGCTGGACAAGTAATCACCTCACTGTGTCGCACTGTGCTGTCCCCCCATTGACCATGCTGGACTCATGTCATAACCACACCGTGCTGTCCCCACACTGCCCATGCTGGGCCCATGCCATCATCCCACCATGGCCACACTGTGCTGTCCCCACACTGGACATGTCATTTCCCCATCGCATCCCCATTGCACTGTTCCCACATCAGCCATGCTGGGCTCATGTCACTGTTGCACCACAGCCCCGCTGTGCTATCCCCACACCAGCTATGCTGGACATGTCATCCCCCCATTGTGTCCCCACATCATCCATACTGGGCCCACGCCACCGCTCTATGTGTCCCCAGTGTGCTGTCCCCACACTAACCATGTCACCACCCCATCCTGACCCCACACCATCCATACTGGACCCACATCACTGTCGCACTGTGAACCCACTGTGCTGTCCCCACACTGCCTATGTCATCACCCCACCGTGACCCACACCAGCCATGCTGGGCCGATGCCATTGCCCCACTGTGTCCGCACATTGCTGACCCCACACTGGCCATGTCATCACCACCCCAACGCTGACCCCACACCAGCCATACTGGGCCCATGCCATTGTCACACCATGCTGCCCCCACAGCAGCACGTCATCACCCCATTGTGTCCCCACTGTGCTGACCCAACACCAGCCATGCTGAGCCTATGCCACTGTACCAGTGTGACCCCACTGTGCTGACCCCACACCAGCCATGTTGGACCCATGCCATTGCCGCAGTTTGTCCCCACTGTGCTGACCCCACACCATCCATGCTGGACCCATGCCATTGCACCAGTGTGACCCCACTGTGCTGACCCCGCACCATCCATGCTGGACCCATGCGACTGCGCCAGTGTGACCCCACTGTGCTGACCCCACACCATCCATGCTGGACCCATGCCATTGCCCCAGTTTGTCCCCACTGTGCTGACCCCACACCATCCATGCTGGGCCCATGCCATTGCGCCAGTTTATCCCCACTGTGCTGACCCCACACTATCCATGCTGGACCCATGCCATTGCGCCAGTGTGACCCCACCATGCTGCTCCCACACTGGCCATGTCATGACCCCACTGTCACCCACACCAGACCCACATCACTGCCCCACCGTGCTACCTCAATGCCCCACATCCCTCCCACCTCTGGTCCCCTCCTGCCCCATCCCCCCCGCCCTCCCCCACATCCTCACCACTCCTGGCCCCGCCCCTCCCCTTAGGCCCCGCCTCTTCCCTTTAAGCCCCGCCCCCGGTCCCCTCCCGCCCGCAGCCCCCCCCCCGTCCCCGCCGCACTCACGCGGGCGGTTCTTGCGGACCGAGTCCCGCCGCTGCCGGCTGACAGAGCCGAGCCGTTCCCGGGGCTGCGGCCCCGCCGCGCTGTCAGCGCCCGCCGCGCCGCCACCGCCGCCGCTGCTCCTCCGCCTCGGAGCTCCGGCGTCCGCCCCCACCCCTCGCCGCCGCGGCTTCTCCTCCGCGCCACCGCCGCTGTTGCGCAGCGGCTCCATGCGAGGCGCGGCCCGGCCCCATGGGCCGCTCAGCCCCGCCGAGCCGCGCTCCCCCTCAGCCGCCGCAGCCACCGCCTGCACCGCGCCTGCGCCTAACGGCCCCCCGCGCCCCCGGCCCCGCGAGGGCGGGAGAGGCCGTGTGGCGGTAACCAATCAGCGCGCTCCGCCGCGCGGAGTGACAGGTGACTTACCCAATGGGAGGCTGGGATTGGAGGAGAGCGGAGCTCTGGGCCCTTCCCCTGCGCTGCGCCGCGGAAAGTGACTAGCGCGGCTGCCCAATGGAATGCGCGGGCTGAGCAGGGGGCGGGAATTGCGGCAGAGATGCCCAATGGGCGTCCTCTGCAAAGAGATTGACAGGAAAGCTGACCAATGAGATTAGGCGGCCTGGCTGATTGACAGGCAGTATCACTATGGCAACACAGAAGGGAGGGCCTGCAGAAGGCCTGGCGGGGTTGGGGCGGGCTGCTTTGCATACCATTTGCATATGCAATTCGACAGATGCAATTAGCGATACCCCTCAGCCCCTCATTATGGGGTGGCTCTGGGAGCTGCCAGATCCCAACATGTCGGGTCTGTGCCCCGCAGCCCTCCCAGTTCCCTGCCTGCACCTCACCCCATCCCACTGCTCCCCTGTGGGAAGCGCAGGGCTGGAACCGCCTGTCCCAGAGGATGCTGCCCCTCTGGGCCGTGTTAATGGCGTGGACACAAAGTGAAGTGGAATCGGATGTTCCCGGAGGACAAATAGGAGGGCTCTGGACTTGACGGGAGAGCTGAGGTTGTCAGGGGACAACAGGAAGCGCAGTTCCCCTTCACATGGCTTCAGGGACCAAGCTGGATCCAAACTCCCAGTGAGGGCAGAAGAAAACACTCAGTTCTAGTGGATGCAAGAAGATGGGAACCAAGATCAGAGGTTTAGGAGGAAAGACAAAGAGTTAAGGATCTGGGACACATTCACACCCAATCCTCAGCTCTCCTATATCACAGTGTGACTGAAGTGCTGATGTATCCTGTTCCTTAATTCTGGCCTTACATTTGTTTGCTGAGCAAACAGCTACAGCAGTAACTGAGCAGACAATAGGAAACACCTGATCATACAGAGGGGTGCAAGCAACCATCAACAGGGTGACAGAGAATCACAGGATCCCAGCATGGTTTGGGTTGGAAGGGAGCTTAAAGCTCCTCCAGCTCCAACCCCTGCCACAGGCAGGGACCCCTTCCACTGGAGCAGCTTGCTCCAAGCCCCTGTCTCCAACCTGGTCTTGAACACTGCCAGGGATGGGGCAGCCACAGCTTCTCTGGGCACCCTGTGCCAGCGCCTCAGCACCCTCACAGGGAAGAGCTTCTGCCTAAGAGCTCAGCTCAGTCTCCCCTCGGGCAGGTTCAAGCCATTCCCCTTGGCCTGTCCCTACAGGCCCTTGTCCCAAGCCCCTCTCCAGCTTTCCTGCAGCCCCTTTAGGCTCTGGAGCTGCTCTAAGGTCTCCCCTTAAGGAGCCTTCTCCTCTCCAGGCTGACCCAGCCCACCTCTTGAACAGGATACGTTTGAAGAGGAGAACACTGAAAACAGACTCTCAGACTATAAGATGCTGTGACAGCTCCCATTGTAACACACTGGAGATTCCCAGGTGGAATGTTCTCAGGCGGAATGTTAATTGATGTCCAGTGTACCCAGAGCACGGCCGAGCGTGGAGCTGCAGCCCAGTGACCCTCCGTGCTCTTGTGCTCTTCACCTGCAGCACGTTAATCTCAGCTCACCGCAATCCTCAGGCATTAACTCGATACCAAAGGGATATAAAGTGAGTGACATTCCAAAGAGGTGGGATAATTCCAGTGAGAGTTTGCTCAATTGTGGTCACTGTGGCAGAAACAGGACTAAGAGACTGGTCAGATTTAGTTTGGGTCATTTTAATGTCCTGTTGGGCACATGCAGGGAGGATATAAATGGGGTTGGTACTGGTATGAGATAAAGTATAACTGATCTGAGGGAAAACAACCCTTCATTCAAAGGTTGCCTTCATTTTGTTAAGGAATTAACTCACTGAGTGAAGCTTAGGGTGTTTCCAATACCAGCCCTGAATGTGTTCCAGGTACCTCGGTTGTAAATCGAGCTGGGAAAGCAGGGAGTAAGGAGAGCCAGTGGGATGGGCTGAGGCCCTTGGGAGGCAGTGCGGAGATGACAGTAATGCTGCTGGAAAGGGCTGTCTCCATCCTGCTGCTCGAAAGCTTCTCATGTGTTCCCCAAAGGCACGTGCCACAGGCTGGCTAACCCCAGGGCAGCGAGGAGGGAGCTGGAGCTGGGCACAGTGGTGGGTTTGGTGATGCTGGCATCTCTTTTCTGCTGGTCAGGCCAAGCCTGAAGCTGTTCAGTAGACAAGGAATGGGTCCCGCACACCAGAGCTGAGCCTGGGGTAGCAAAGGTGGCACAGCTCCCTTTTCTGTGCAGGATCCTGGGATCTGATTCAACCAGAGACCTGGGAGAATCTGGATCATGGAGTCACGGAATGGTTTGGGTTGGAAGGTACGTTGAAGCTCATCCAGTTCCAATCCCTTGCTGTGGACCTGAGGGTTAATAGCATGTAATCGGTGGCATATAATCACACTGCATGTAACCAAGCAGACACCATGAACAGATGTGTGCTGAGGTGGACAGGATGCACCAAGACACCACTCACGCTTCTTCATGATTTAGGTTGGATATTAGGAAGATCAGAAAGATGAGATGAGATGTTCAGAAGATTGGACAGATTTGAATGAGCTCTTAGGCAGAAGCTCTTCCCTGTGAGGGTGCTGAGGCGCTGGCACAGGGTGCCCAGAGAAGCTGTGGCTGCCCCATCCCTGGCAGTGTTCAAGGCCAGGTTGGACACAGGGGCTTGGAGCAAGCTGCTCCAGTGGAAGGGGTCCCTGCCCACGGCAGGGATTGGAACTGGAGGAGCTTTAATGTCCCTTCCAACACAAACCAGTCTGGGGTTCTATGATATGTAGGAGAAAAGTTCTCCAAGAAATCCAAATGCAGCTCCATGGAAAAGATCCAACTCCCACCAATGGAGTTGCTTGGAATTGTATATGGCAGAAGCAGCTTTCTCCAAAAGTACCTTCTATCTTAAATGGGAATCCCAATGTGCATGAACTGCTGCAACCCTCCCCCAGCAACCCAGAGGAATCACAGAATCAACCAGGTTGGAAAAGACCTTTAAGATCATCAAGTCCAACCATTACCCCAGCATTGCCAAGGCCACCAGTAACCCATGTCACTGAGAGCCTCACCTACAGGCTGGAGGGATCCTTCTTTGTGGCTTCCATTCCCTGAGCAGTCAAGTGAGGTGACTGAATTCTCCAACCATCTTCTCCATACACATTTCCTTGCCCTATAGGCTCCATAAAAAAGCAGCTGAGCTCCATCCCCTTGCTGATACAAACACATGTGGCAATCTCACAAGTGGACTGTGAAGTGACAAACCGTTTTATTAGTTAGTACAAAGCTTTTTGTCTTTGTTGAGGGTGTCAAGGACACAAGTTCAAGTTCCCTCCTGCAGATTCACCTGCTGAGGATGCTTAAAGTGCTACATTAACTGCGAAGCTGCCGGCAATTCACAGCAGAAAACTGAGTCTAAGGAGTGACAAATCATGTGTTTCACAAGTGATCTGATGTGAAGAGGCAAAGGGCACTACTGAGAAGTAGCAGGAAAATATGTGAAGGATGCTACAGGCAAGTAAAGCAGCAGAGTAAAGGGCCCTAGTACAGATGCTACCGGTCTGGGATCTCTTAGGTGTCCTCAAATCATGCAGAAAGGGTGTGGAGAATGATAGAATCAACCAAGTTGGAAAGTACTTTTAAGATCAAGTCCAACTGTTAACCCAGCACTGCCAAGGCCACCACTAACCCATGTCCCAAAGCACTACATCCACACACTGGGCTTGTTCAGCCTGGAGAAGGCAGCAGGGAGACCTCAGAGCAGCTCCAGTGACTAAAAGGACTACAAGAAACCTGGAGAGGGGCTTTGGCCAAGGGCCTGTAGGGCCAGGCCAAGGGGAATGGCTTGAACCTGCCCGAGGGGAGACTGAGCTGAGCTCTTAGGCAGAAGCTCTTCCCTGTGAGGGTGCTGAGACGCTGGCACAGGGTGCCCAGAGAAGCTGTGGCTGCCCCATCCCTGGCAGTGTTCAAGGCCAGGTTGGACACAGGGGCTTGGAGCAAGCTGCTCCAGTGGAAGGGGTCCCTGCCCGTGGCAGGGGTTGGAGCTGGAGGAGCTTTAAGCTCCTTTCCAACACAAACCATTCTATGATATAACGCTATGATACAAAGCTGGTTAGACGGGGCTCTTTCCTGACCCTCAGCTTCATCCCCAGCAGAGACAAGCAAAGGTCCCTGCAGCAGAGCCAGAGATATCAGTAAGGCAAATTCAATATGAGGCACCTGGTGAAGGCCACTGCACAGACCGTCAGGCTTGTTTTCAAGCTAGGAAGACCAAAGCCAACAGAATCAGGTTCACATTTACTCACTCCCTGAAGGGACCAGGGGCAAGGGGGGGGGTCACCCTTTGGACCACGAGGACACATTTCCCCGGGACCAAACAAGGAAGATGTGGAGCATCACCATGAGGACTTTCATTTCTGACTTAATGGATCAACCCCTGAGCAAAACCCTCCCTGAGCAAGACCCTGCGTGTAAAAGTCTACAGATAAGAATATGGTTGGGAAACAGGAGGAACAGACCCAAACCCAACAGTATCATCCAATGAAGGCTTCTTCCAGCAGAACCTTCCGGAAATAGATTTAACAACATCCCTACTCTCCCCACTGCTGCTCCTCAGGCTTCAGATGTGTTGCCCAAATCCCTGCCATGAAGAGGACCTGCTGAGTGACCCTCACTTCTGCCATCGAGTGCACACCAGGAATGCCAGCACTGAAATCGCAGCGATGCCCACAGTTGGGATGAGGTATGACCGGGATGGCCAGTTGCTGCCACTTGAGTGGTCACTGCCCTGAGACAACCTGGTCACAGAGTCAAAACCTACATTTCCAATGGGATTGGCTCTGTCTTGAAGGTCATTGCCAGCGTCAAGCTGGGCGCTGGGGTGATGCTCCACGTGGACCTCATGGGTGCTGCTCCAGCTTGGAAGTGGGTAAGAGTCTCTGCTTGCTTCAGCTGATGCCTCTTCCCTAGGTTCTGGTGCTGGGCATCCTAACGAGACTCTGGGCAGTGCTTCTCCTGAGCTGGAGCTCTCTGTGCTTATCAAGAGAGGGTCACTCCTGAAGGTGAGGCTGCTGGACACGCTGGAGCAGGGGCCACTGAGGCATCTGCCACTTGCTTCTGGGCTGTCCCCAGCAACAGACAGGAGGACACCTGGCTTGCTGGGCTCTACATCCCCCTCCACATTGCTGTAGGATGCCCAGATGGTGGTGGCAGAGCTCACTCGGCGGGGTGCCCTCCCAGATACGCTTCCTGCAGCAGCTGTGTCCAGGAGAGGGTCCACAGAGGCCGGGAGCACCTGTGGGAGACAAGCAGAGGGGCTGGGTGCCACAGGAAGCACCCATATGGCTGGTCTTGGGCACACATGTGACACGACAAGCCCACTTCAGTGCCCAACAACCACATCACTGGCTGCTGACAGTGAGACTGGGCCATGGGTAGTGAGTGGGGCTGGCAGAGTGAAGAGGGCTCCAGGGAGCCTTTGGGATTGGGAGAGATAAGGGAAGAAAAGGAACAAAGGGGGAGGAAAGGAAGGAAAAGGGGGCAAGCAAGGAAGGGGGGGGGGGGAAAGAAGGAAGGGGAGGAGGGGGGGAAATAGGAAGGAAGGGGGGGAAATAGGAAGGAGGGGGGAAATAGGAAGGAAGGGGGGGAAATAGGAAGGAAGGGGGGGAAATAGGAAGGAAGGGGGGGAAACAGGAAGGAAGGGGGGGAAACAGGAAGGAAGGGGGGGAAAGGAGGAGGGGCGGAAGGGGAGGGCGGGAGAGAAGGAGGGGGGAAAGGGAAGGAAAGAAGGGGGGAAAGGAGGAAGGGGGGGAAGGAAGGAAGGGGGGGAAGGAAGGAAGGACGAGGGGGGGGAAAGGAAGGAACAGGGGAAAGGAAGAAAGGGGGAAAGGAAGGAACGGGGAAAGGAAAAAAGGGGGGAAAGGAAGAAAAGGGGGGAAAAGGAAGGAAAGGGGGGAAAATGAAAGAAAGGGGGTGAAAGGAAGGAAGGGGGAAAACAAAAGGCAGGAAAAGGAAGGGGGGGAAGGAAGGAAGGAAGGTGGGAGAAAAGGAAGGCACGAGGGAAAAGAAGGAAAAAAAAAGGAAGCAAAAATGGATGAAGGAAGGAAGCAGAAAGGAAGATCAGCAGCAAGGAGAGGGGTGGAAAGAGGCAACTGGAAGGCCGGACACTGACAGGCAATTCAAGGAAGAATATGAGGAGCCAAAGCCCCACCAACCCTAGCTCCCTTCTCCCATGCTCCAGAATACAGGAGCAATAGGAACACAGTGGGGAAAAGCCCTGAATGAACTCACCAGCAGCTCAAAACCTGACACTGCAGCAGAACACCTCCCAGTCCAGGGACTTCACAAGGGACATGAATGAAAGCAAGTGGTAATGGGAAAGGTCACCTACATGCTCCTTCAGTGGCATGGAAGGGGTGCTGGTGGCTGTCACCCCCATGGGCATTTTATTCTCTCGTCCAGGCTTCACAGAGCTGTCACAGGATGGGGAAGTGTCTCTGGGCATAGAGTTGGTCTGAGTGTTTGCTAGGGAGAAAACAAAAGGTACTGTGTTCATAACTTTTGTTCAAGAGGCTTGCTATTCCTCAAGGATGCTGCAATAGGATACTCCTAGAGATGAGGAGGTTGTTTTTGAACACTTGCAGGGCCGGTGCCTGCAGCCCTGCCCTGGGCAGCCTGTTCCAATGCCTGAGCACCCTCTGGGGCAGGAATTGTTCCTCAGCTCCATCTAAACCTGCCCTGGTGCAGCTTGAGGCTGGTTCCTCTTGTCCCATCCCTTGTTCCTTGGGAGCAGAGCCCAGCCCCTCCTGGCTCCATCCTCCTGTCAGGCAGTTGGAGGCAGCCATCAGGTCCCCCCTGAGCCTTCTCTTCTCCCGACTGAACCCCCCAGGTCCCTCAGCCCTTCCCCATCACACTTGGGCTCCAGGCCCTGCACCAGCTCCGCTGCCCCTCTCTGGCCCCGCTCCAGCACCTCAGTGTCTCTCCTGTAGTGAAGAATATCCAGCAGCACCACAGTTGCTACATGGCTCTGCCAGGCAGGAAACCCACCTCCATCGCCTCTGTGCTCTCGCAGCATCCCAACCAGCTTCTGCTCCGCATCAAACTGCTGCTGTATGAGGAGGGGGCTGCGCACATCCACGAAGCTTCCCAGGTGCTCACCATGCTCTGGGCCAGACACAGCCTTTTTTGGGGGCAGGGAGTTGAGGGGCTGCGTCCCCCTGCTGTGAGTGGCCTCCTCCAGTTTCAGGGGTGACTCAGTGGAGATGTACGAGTCCTCCTGGGGCTCATTCCTGGGCTGCGAGGGGCTGTGAGCACCCTCTGCATCCCGTGGTGGATGAGACCTGCCCAGGCCCAAGCCTGGTGTACCACGATGCAGGTGGTTGGCATTCCCAAAGCATCCGTTGTCCACACACACCGGGTGCTGCGGGCGGCTCAGCCAGTCCCGGCCACACTCGCTGGGCACAGCTGATGCCACGGACAAGCTGCCTGTCCCAGGGGTCCGCACTGGTGCCTGCATGACCTCAGTGGGGTCACAGCGATACCCGTCAGTGCCATGCCCAGTGCTCACTCCATCATGGACTGTGCTCCTAGGTGGGGGCAGCTGGGGTGTCTCTTGCTGCAGGATTTTGGGGAGCTGGAAGGAAATCACAGAATGGTTTGTGTTGGAAGGGACCTAAAGCTCCTCCAGCTCCAGCCCCTGCCATGGGCAGGGACCCCTTCCACTGGAGCAGCTTGCTCCAAGCCCCTGTGTCCAACCTGGCCTTGAACACTGCCAGGGATGGGGCAGCCACAGCTTCTCTGGGCACCCTGTGCCAGCGCCTCAGCACCCTCACAGGGAAGAGCTTCTGCCTAAGAGCTCAGCTCAGTCTCCCCTCAGGCAGGTTCAAGCCATTCCCCTTGGCCTGGCCCTACAGGCCCTTGTCCCAAGCCCCTCTCCAGCTTTCCTGCAGCCCCTTTGGGCACTGGGAGCTGCTCTAAGGTTTCACCTTAAGGAGCCATCTCTACTTCAGGCTGAACCAGCCCAGCTCTCTCAGCCTGGCTCCAGAGCAGAGCTGCTCCAGCCATGTAACTCCAGTTATAGGGTCTAAGTTACCAGCTGCAGCAACGATCAGCAGCAAGAGCATGCTTGGGATGTCCCTGCACCAGCCAGACCCTACCATCGACTCCCCTTACCACATAGGTCCCGTCCAAAAGGGACCTCTGTATCCCTATCTGACACGTCACACTCACCGATTCCTGCACTGGGGTTCTGGCATCCAGGTCCATGCTTGTGGTGGTGGCAGCACTGGGCAGGTCTTGGTGTGGCTGCTCAGCCAGCGGGGCACATGGAGCAGGGTCAGGAGCTGGGGACAGTGTCTGGACTGCGGTGGAGGTGACAGTGGGATGGGCATTGCTGGCTGCAGGAGGGGAGGAGGCAGTGGTGGGAGCTGGGGGACCTGGAGGAACCAAGGTGGTTTGTGAGCATGGACACTGACGGAAAAGCCAAGGTGGCAAAGGATGAGCATGGGGCTGAGGCAGACCCTCAATTGCTCCTGCTCTGTCCCAATCCCACAGCACCCGTTCATTTACCCTTCCATCTGCCCCCAAGGTTCTTCCTTCAAACAAGGACCCCACCATCCTTAGCCACATCACCAGGGTGATGGACATCCCTGGGGACAGTCAGACACCCCCAGGAAGCCAAGGCAGGGAGAGATTAGACACCAGGATGTGCAATTCGGATCCCCATGTCCACCAGGCCCCCCGGCCAGCCCCCAGGGACAGAGGCTACCTACAGCGTTGGCAGGAGTCGTACACGTGCTGCAGCTCATCGGCCAGGTCCCCGGCATTGTTCTGGCGCAGTGCCTCGATGAGGTCCCTCACCCAGCCCTGCCGGCACTTCAGGTGCTGATAGAACTTGTAGACAGTGGCCTGGCTGCCTCGTGCTTCCTCCCGGGCATGGAGCTCATCCTGAATAAACCACATACAGGGAGCCAACAGAGGGTCTGCCTTAGAGGTGGGGTGGGTGTATGTTGCCTGAGCTGTATTATAGAATCCCAGACTGGTTTGTGCTGAAGGGACCTTAAATCCCATCCAGCTCCAACCCCTGCCCCGGGCAGGGACCCCTTCCACTGGAGCAGCTTGCTCCAAGGCCCTGTGTCCAACCTGGCCTTGAGCACTGCCAGGGATGGGGCAGCCACAGCTTCTCTGGGCACCCTGTGCCAGCGCCTCAGCACCCTCACAGGGAAGAGCTTCTGCCTAAGAGCTCAGCTCAGTCTCTCCTCGGGCAGGTTCAAGCCCCCCCTTGGCCTGTCCCTATAGACCCTGATGAAGCATCCTTGTAGCCCCCTTCAGATACTGGAAGGCTGCTAAGAGGTCTCCACGCAGCTTCTCTTCTCCAGGCTGAACAGCCCCAGTGCTCTCAGCCTGTCTTCATACAGGAGGTGCTCCAGCCCTTGACCTTCCTTTCCTCATGGCCTCCTCATCTGTTGTGGAAGGAGCCCAGCAGGAGCTCAGGAAAGCGGGCACTTACTCTGTCAGCATCAGTGAGGCAGCTCAGGGAATCGGCCAGCGACGCCACACGGATGTTCCTGAAATTCCTGAGGTTTCTCATAATGTATTCGTACACTTTCTCTTCAGCAAAGCCCATTCTGGCTCAGCACCTGCTGAGAGAGAGACACTTAACTGGAGTGGAGGGCTGCTGGCAATGCTCAGCTTTTCCATAGGAACTCAGGCTTTTCCATGGAGCCTGGTCCCACAGCGCTCAGCCTCCCTGTGGTGGCAACCGGCGCAGGGGGAAATCCAGGGTGGAAAACACACAAAAGAGGAAACTCTCCGTTTCAAGCTGAACTCTCGATTTGCAACCCAGCCTCCCTCTGGCTGCTCTCCAGCCCCGTGTTTATCCTCATTCCTGCTGCAGCCGGATGGATCCCACTGCGCTCTCGTGACAATATCGCGACAGGTGCAGCGCGAGTCACGCCAGGCCAAGGGGGGAAAGGCCAAGACCGAGGGTGACGAGGCTGATCCCTGACGCAGCAAAGGAAGGAGGAACCACGGCAAAGGGAAAGGGAAACCCGCCCCGCCAGGCCTGCCTGCTCCCATGGGAGCGCTGGGAACGATTGTGCTGGAAATAAACCTCAAACCACAGCCGGGACCCCCGGCTCTGCGGACTGAGGTACCGGATGGAACGGAATTCCATGGGATACGATGGGACAGACCAGCGCCACCCTCCCCTCACAGCCCCTACCTGTGCCCGCCGCCGCCGCTAAGCGCTGTGGGGACGGCTCTAAGCCCGCCCACCCCTCTCTTCGCCGCCGCTGATTGGTGGCCGAGCACGCCCATCGCGGTGATTGGCAGGCTCTGTGAGACGAGGGCGGGAAGTGCCTGCCCTCTCCTCGACGGGGCGGTGGATCCGGGCCCGGCCCTCACCCGGTGGCATCGGGGCGGGCCTAGGGCGGGTCCAGCCCTCACCCGGTGGCATCGGGGCGGGCCCGGGAAGGGGTCCAGCCCTCACCCGGTGTCATCGGGGCGGGCCCGGGGCGGGTCCAGCCCTCACCCGGTGGCGGCAGGGGGCAGCAGCGCACCGGGAACGTCCTGCGTGTGCCCGCCCCTCGTCCCGCCCCGCTGTCCCCGCCCCGCTCTGTCAGCGCAGCGCGCCCTGCATGGAGCCGCACCATGGCGGCAGCGGCGGCGGCGGGAGCGGGCGGGCGGCGGCGGGGGCGCCGCTGAGGGCCGGCAGCCCCGCGGCGGGGCTCTGAGGGGCGGCGGGGCCTTTCCCCCCTTCCCCTCTCCCTTCCCTTCTTTCCCTTCCCCTTCTTTTCCCCTTCCCTTCCCTTCTTCCCGACCCCCGCGCCCTTCTCCCGGCGCGGCGTCCATGGTCGCGGCCGGCCGCGGCGGTACCGGAGCGGTTGGGCGGCGGCGAGAGCCAGCGAGGGCGGAGGAGCGGCCCGGCAGGTGAGGAAGCGCCCGGCGGGGGGCGTCGGGAACAGCCTGGCGTTGTTATGGCGACGGGCTGGGCGCTGGGCCCGGCCTGGGGGTGTCCGTGTGGTGTTCCCCCCCCCCCCCCCGGTATTGTGGGCTTTATTAGTTAATGATAATGATCAATAGGGAATGGCGATAGTGGGGCCGCGACAGCCACACACAGATACACACACACCCGGCGGGGTCCGAGCTGGGCACCCTGCTCACACACCCGGGATCTGGCACATGGGTTGGATCCTGGGATCACCACATGCCTCTTCCTCCTCTTCCTCCTCTTCCTCCTCTTCCTCCTCTTCCTCCTCTTCCTCCTCTTCCTCCTCTTCCTCCTCTTCCTCCTCTTCCTCCTCTTCCTCCTCTTCCTCCTCTCTCAGGGTCACCAGCCCCATGGGCACATCACTCAGGACATGGGGTTCCAACACTGATCGCCCCCATAAGCAGCTGACCCACCAGCTGCCCTCATGGACCCATGGAGCTGCTCAGCAGCTCTTGGCCTGTGCTAAGCCCATTGGGCTCATGGTCCGGCTCCATCCCTGTGCTGTTCCTTAGCGAGATGCTCCAAGCTGGAGCGCTGGAGGGGACACTGAGGGCTGTGTCCCCTCCTCATCCCGCTGTATCCACACATCCCGAATGGGAGCGTACGAGCTGCCGTGCTCCTGGCTCTCCCACGCTCGGGTAGATCCATCCTCCCTCCTCGGCCAGCTCCTGCTTATTTCTGCTCTTGGATGTCATCAAGGGTGGAAAATGTGACAGGAAGGAAGGGAGGCTTTTTTTTTTTTCGCCTCCTGCTAAATATGGACTGACATGAAAACCCAAAGAGTGTCCTGAAAGGAATCCCAGCCCCTGTGCTTGCTGGCCGAGGGAAAACCGATGCTTTCTGCCTCTTTGGCTCGGAGGTTCCAGCTGGGAAGTTTCGCAAGGAGCAGTGGCTCCTTCCCGAGAGGAATTTACTTTGCTTGTTCACAGGACGCTCTCTGCAGGAATTACTCATCCTTTCTCTGCCTGCTCCTGGCTGGGGGGAGCTCGCTGCGAGCATGCGGGATGCATGGAAAACAGGGAGCTTTCCTCTCCTGTCCAAGGGAAAGGTGGTTTTAATCTTTACTCTGATTCCTGTCGCTGCTGCGCTGGGGAAGGACGTGCGAGGGGTGTCTGCGTTCGGGTTCACAAGGAGGATTAATGTCTGGCTCCAGCAGGAATCGGAGGCTGACTCCAGCCGTTACTCCCATGGTGAGGGTGGGAAATGGGTTCTCGGATGAGGCAGGGAGCCCAGGGATGGTTGTGGCACTGCCAGCTCCCCCAGTGTCTGCTGGGGTTGAGGTGAGGATGTTTTGGGGGGACATGGACCAAAGCTTCACTGTGGCCTGGGGGTGCTGGTCCTGCCATGTTCCCCCTCCATGTGTTCATCTGCATTCCCACTGGAGAGCTTTCGAGGGGGGGGAATTCCAGGTTTGTTTTCCTGATCTTTATACAAACCATTGGTTAAAGCAGCGGGGGGATACTGGGAGGTGTTGAAAATGGATGCTTCCCGTTTCCAGGGGCATCCCTGGCTCTGGTGCAACTGGATTGGTTTCAGGCTCCTGGGATACTGAAACGTCCCTCTCAAATAACCAATGTTCTGTGCCGAGCCGGGATGTTGGGCCAAGTCCAACATCAACATCCTTGTGGAAGAGTTGTTTGAATTCCCTCTCTCCCTGTCTCCTCCTACATCTGTTCTCCTCCAAACCCTCTGTGTCTGCATCATGATCCCAATCACAGGGAACACCAGGGAGCACGGGGTGGGGTATTTCGTGTGCTTCCATAGGGTTGGGAGCAGCATGGTGGATGCACAAGGTGCTGGTGGTCCTTTATTCTTGGTGTTGGAAGGGAAGGAGGTCAGCCCATGTGGTCTCATTCACAGATCACATTTTCCTCTTGAAATAAACCAGATCCTGGGCTTTCCCGTTGTGATGGAGATGATTTGCATGAGACCAGGTCCATAGGCATCTCTGGAGCCTGAGGGCAGAAAGGAGCAAAGGGGAATGGCTTGAACCTGCCCGAGGGGAGCCTGAGCTGAGCTCTTAGGCAGAAGCTCTTCCCTGTGAGGGTGCTGAGGCGCTGGCACAGGGTGCCCAGAGAAGCTGTGGCTGCCCCATCCCTGGCAGTGTTCAAGGCCAGGTTGGACACAGGGGCTTGGAGCAAGCTGCTCCAGTGGAAGGGGTCCCTGCCCATGGCAGGGGTTGGAGCTGGAGGAGCTTTAAGGTCCCTTCCAACCCAAACCACTCTGGTCCTATAGAACACTAATGGACAGAGGTTGGAAATGTCCGTGTTGATAGAATGGGCTGATTCATCTCCCTGCTTTTAACTCTTTCCCTTCTGGTTTGCTTCAAAGCCAAGGAGACGACCACAGCTCTCCTGTAGCTGGATCACAAAATGCTGCTGGGTTTGTACATGGTATTTATGTGGTTTGAGCTGGAAAAGGAACGGGCTGTTGGGGGCATGTGGTTATCCGAACCGGATAACCGGGACATCGGCACTCACGTTAGGGAGGATTAATATTTAATACATGGGCTATGAACCGTTGTGCTTAATCACTGCCTGAAGGGCTTAGGAAGAGATTTACCCATAAGCAAAGCGATTCCCTGTCTGTCCAGAGTGATTTCTTGCCTCTTCCTTGGGAGCAGCTGGTCCTGGATATAGCCAGGGGCTGATCTGATCCTGCTCTCCCTGATGTCTCCAGCTTTTAGGAGCTGGTTGAGTGGCTTTCATCACAAGTGCTTACTTCTCATCGTGGAAACCCTTTTGCTCTGGTGCAACCCACGTGGCTGCTCTGTAACCCACCAGTGGTCCCTGGAGCTGCAGTCTGTGTGGCCCTGCGTGTCCTGCAGCTCCAAGTTGAACTGGTTTGAGGTTGGGAAGCAGAGGTGGGAGGTGATGCCTCATGATGACTCTGGTGGGACTGAGGGTTGTGTCTCCATCATAGCAAACCCCACTTTAAGCTGCCTGTGTCCCCCTTCCCTCCTTGCCCCAAACCTCACCTAACTGAGAGCACCACTTGTGGCTATGAAACCCCCTTTGCTGTGGCTGCACACATGGTACTGTGGTCTTTGTGGCTGAGGTTTAGTGGTGGAAGACAAAGCAACCAAGTGTGGGTTGAGTTTGGCCATGATGGTCATGTGGGGCATCCTGGTGGCCACTGTGACAGGCTGGAGGTTAGGAATCTTAGAGTGGAGTGGGGACTGCTTTTCTCCCAGAATACATGTGGGAGAGCAACTCTTTAATTCGTTGCTTAGGCAGCAGTGAGTCCTCTTTATTCAAGAATAATTTGTTGTCCTAATTCCTTCCTGTTGAAGCAGCTTCGTTTTGCATGGAATAATTAGGACCAATTTGGACCTGGGATGGAAAAGAAGAGTTCTCTGACTTCAGAAGAGCAGAGAGGAGCAGAACCTCTGCCTCTGCTGTGTGAGCGAGGCCGTGCTGTGGCACCCCTCCCGAACGTGAGACCAAACATCCCAGGCTGGTGGGAGGGAGCAGGAGAGCACAGAATCCCAGAGTGGTTTGGGCTGAAAGGAACCTTAAAGCTCCTCCAGCTCCAACCCCTGCCATGGGCAAGGACCCCTTCCACTGGCGCAGCTTGCTCCAAGCCCCTGTGTCCAACCTGGCCTTGAACACTGCCAGGGATGGGGCAGCCACAGCTTCTCTGGGCACCCTGTGCCAGCGCCTCAGCACCCTCACAGGGAAGAGCTTCTGCCTAAGAGCTCAGCTCAGTCTCCCCTCGGGCAGGTTCAAGCCATTCCCCTTGGACTGTCCCTACAGGCCCTTGTCCCAAGCTCCTCTCCAGCTTTCCTGCAGCCCCTTTAGGCACTGGGAGTTGCTTTGGGGTCTGCCCAGGAGATGCAGGTGTCTCCAGCCTTCTGCTGTTGCAGGGAGCTGGGGACATCTGTGGGGATGGGGAATGGACCACCACCACCTCCTTCCTCCTTAGATAGCACTGAGGAGCAAACAAACCAAACCCTTCCCACCACACTCATGTGAGAAGCTGCCTCTGACCAGCCTGGAGTATTCCTGGCGCCCGGGCCAAGTACTTGAGACCTTTTTATTGCTGTGACAAGGACTTCCACATCCTGCCCCACAGTCTGACTCGAGGCTATTTTCTGTTGCTTCCAGGAAGACATCCCTGTTCTCCCTTCCTTTGCATAGTGCAGGGAAGGCAGCCAAATTCCTTCCCTCCCCCCAACCCCTGTGGGTTTCAAGAAGAGGGAGTGCAGGCGTCCTTCCTGGCTTCCCTGGCCTTTACCTGGGAAGCAGGGCATGAAGGTCCTGCAGGTTTGGTGGTGGCACAGCCGCCTTCCTCAGTGCTGGTGGGTTCATTTCTGCTGGTGAAGGTGGTGAGCACTGAGTCCATGTCCTTGTTTCCAGAGTGCTGAGCTCTGGATGCAGTCGGAATGGGAGATGTTTAGCCTGGAAATCCATTCTGGCAGGAGACACGCTGTGAGTGAGACAGGCTTCCCAGTGTGTGGGTATGGGACTGCCTGTGGAAGCTGCCTGCAGGCTCATATGGGAGGTTTGAGATCTGTCTTCATAACTTGGGGGTCCCAAATGCTGTTTGAAGCTCCCAGTTGATCTAAGTACATTGGAGGCAGCTTGCAGAGGCGCTG